CCCTGAGCCTTTTAGTTGAAAGAACAGAAACCCGGCACRTTAGGATAAAATAAAATAAAAATCCATATGTTGTAAAAGAGAGTTCTGTTAAGACATCATCTTCCATCTCCTCACTCCTTTCTCCAGCACCCAAAAGCCTCTTTAAAACTGTTCCTCCTTTACTAGCCCGTATGTTTGGAAAAAGCACACATTCACCCAATTGAGCCAGCCCTTCAGATAATCTGTTTTATTTTCCATTGCTTGTTCCAGTAGCCATTGGACAAGTACCTCAAAGATAGAATATGATACACCTGTATCATGTTAGGGTTCTTTTTCAGGAGGTAGATAATTTTGTGCATTATTCTTTGATCCAGTGAGATAAATGATTAGGAAACCAAATAATGCTACATTCTAAGCTCTTGGTAATGTTTGCTGCTTTGGCTTGGCCCATGATGACATAAGTGTCAAACTTATTTGAATCCTTTGTGGCTCCAAATAGTAATTCTATATGTTCACAGGCCCTTATGCTCCTCCAAGCCAAGGAGATTTTCCCCAAAGCCATCTTTAAATGGTTAACATTCAACAGTTTCTTACCACATTAGTGATTTAGGTAAGGAACAAGTAGTACATATAATTATTCCACACATTATTTCATGACTTTGGCACCACCATGCCAACTCAAATTAGCTATCCAGTGGCTGCTTCCAGGGGATGGCATCTTATTCACCTAACATCATCCCATAGAAATCCTATAGGGTCTTCCATAATTGAATCTCTAGTACTAGAGAATTCTTATTGTTAACTCATCAAGATTCTTACATTCTTGACCTCACAGTTAAGCTATCGGTTACTGTCCATGACTCGACAAATATCCAAACATCACCCAAAGTAAAGAACTAAGCTCTCCCTCTTCTGTCCTGCACACTGCTCTCAACTCTGCCCAGGGCATGAACTTGCCTTCGAATCTTTTGAGTCTTTTCTCTCCATAGGGCGAAGAGTAGAAGGTTGTACAGGTATTCCTGCTATATAGGCATTCTTCTGGATAAATGAATACATTTCTCCAATTTTGGTGGAAAGAGAGTAGTGATGTCTAGACCTTTCAGCAACAGAAGTGGGCTRCTTGTTAGTTCTAAGACAGCGATGCTATCTGCTCAGGTATGTCTCATAACTCCCCAGAGACACTTCTCATGACAAATTATTTTGAGAATTTTATTGTTCTGCTTTTATTCTACTTCTTTGTGATATCTCCAACTTATAATGGGTAGTTTGGATTTTAAATTAATGTGATGCTCTTAAGTTGTGGAGATTGTTTTCATGAGAGCTCAATAGCATACTGGCAAAAGTTCCCTAGTCCCATCATCAGGAAACTTTCAAGGTCAAAATCCTAGTGGTTACCACAAGATGGCAGTATTATCTTTCAATCAAAGCCTTTATTCCCATGTATCTTGGAGTTAGAAACTTACAAAATCRTGTGAATGTACTGGAATTGGAGGGTCCCAATGATGTACTGAGGTCACTGACCATTACATATTGGCCACAGCTTGTCAAGTAGCCCCTCAGGTTTTATGCCTCCTTTTTACTGTCAGGATCCTGGAGGGAGAAGGATTTATTATTTACCTTTTGTGGAATACCTCTGATGGTCCAAAGTTATCTTTTGATATTTTGCTGATTAAGGTAGGTTCTGAATCTTAGCAGGATGCATTAACCAGTCATAGGCTGGTAATGGGTATCACTACAACTCTCAAATCTTTCTGAGTTTCTTCTTCCAAGGCGAAATCAACCTAATGTCGTCATCAAAGCAATGAATTAACTTGATTTTCATTAGTGATCACATCTAAATCCAATCTCACCAAAGTGTGACAGCAAGTTGAGGAGGTCAGATATCATCAGAGAAAGGCCATAAACATGCACAAGCAAACTAAGCTGACTCTTGAGTGAGTTCAAGGACACAGCATTGGCCTAATCTGTCACCTAAAGGTTCACATTCAGCATGTTAGACCTCTTGTGCAGCTTGTGCGATGCCTGGAAGAGCAGACACTTGTTTAAAACAGACTGTGACTAAATTCAACAAGAGTAACCTCTAAGAGCTGTCTTGTGCTCTCCCTGGCCATGCAAGATTAATAGAGAGCCATGCAAGATAAATAGAAAGTGTCAGTRGAGATTAGCATCTCTTTCTCCACTGCTTCTTAATGAAAGACAAGATGCCTGTGTCCTTCYAGCATTTGATACTTCCTGATACTTACTATAGGGCTTTCTTTATGCATGTCTAATTAAAACTACGTGAAGGGCATATTTATCTCTCTTAAAGACAAGTAGCTTAAGCTGGTAATGACAAAGGCCTTTAACATATCTATTCTAATTATGTATTTAGGTAAAAGCAAGAGCTCATTATGTTTTCTTTTTTATGTCTCCAAATACATTTTTATAGTTATTCTGGTGCCATCCATTGGTAACATGGTAACATGGTAATATTTCCATATGTTCCAAACTTCAGTTTCCATACCATTATATTGCCTTTTCAGTCTGCTGCTTGTATTTAGTACATTTATCACTGTCATGAAGGTACATTCAATAATTTTAARTAATTTTAAAAAGCTTTCTACTATCCTCTGCCATTCAGCATTAGTCATATCATATTTTGGGCCATTCACCAGGAGTCAAGTGAAGGTTTCTTCCCCCACAACCTTAATAGGTGAATTAAAATCTCTACTTTGTGCTGAATATACAATCAGCCCTCTCTACCCATGAGTTCTGCATCTGTGAATTTAACCRAYTGTGGATGAAAAATATTTGGGAARGCATTATGTCTGTACTGAGCATGAACAGATTGTTTTATTGTCATTATTGCCTGAATAAAAGAGTATAACCCTTTACATTATATTTACATTGTATAAGGTGTTATAAGACATTCAGAAATGATTTAAAGTGCAATACCTATCTAGGAGGATGTTGTAAGTTATATGCAAACACCATCTGATTTTATATAATGGATTTAAGCATCTGTGGATTTTGCATCAGAGTGGATCCTGGAACCAATCCCTCATGGATAGCAAGGGACAACTGTCCAGCATTTTGCTTCTCAGGRTAAATTTGCTATGTTCCAGACTTTACATATTCCAAAAGGAATATTGACTTGGACATTCTGTGGATTAAATGCTGGATATGCTGTAACAAGTTGTTCATTAGTAGTTATGACAATGTTTTCCWTTAAGCAGTTCCTAAAATCAACAGTTCCATAGTTGTTTAGTCTGAGAATTCAAAAAAAGCAGGGATTCTTCAGTACAACTAAAAAATATAAGCAAACTCCACTACGATGTAGCCTTTGATTTCCATGTAGGTATTTGATAAGGTAAGGAAGAAGCACACAGGTTAGTTGAGAGACCCAGAGACCTAGATGAAGAAGGTCCCACCTTCTCCATGAAGCCAAAATCTAAACTGTAGGACGGAACCACCCCTTAGCCAGGTGCATGGAAGAAGACCAGATATGGGAGAAAGAGAGTTGGCCAATCTTCCCTAAGGAACAGGATTGGTTTAATACTTGCATCAGATACACACAAGAGAATTCATGGAAAAGAGAAAGCCACGAGTACACACCATAAATTTAAATGTACAGTGACTCTGCTTCTCATAAAYGCAGTTTAACCAATTTCTCAGACTGTGACTAAACAGATCAGCATTCAGTTATGATAATTTCTAAGTTCTCCTCAGGGCCTAGGTTCCTATGATTTTATTTTCATAGTATACATCCAGACTTCATTACCAAGTTCATTGTAATAAATGAAATTCTGTGGGACAAAGGTTGGTGGTGCACATGTCCTTCACATTCTAGTGTTCCACAGTGAGTATTTAACATTAAAATACTATCTGGGATGTGGGGAAGTGTGTATTGCTTACTTCAATTTTTATTAACAAGGAGATGGAGGAAATATATAGATAGATAATTGCAGATAATAATTTTAAAATATAAATAAGAAATTAATACTAGTTGCTTCTGTGCAAGAGACTGAGGTCTAGGAATCTTGGATGGGTGGATAAAGTTATTGTTTAATGTAAGCTATCATTTGTACTTAGAGTCTTCTCTCCGCCTTGCTCTTTCTCCTCCAGCCACGCTCGCCTTCTTGCTGTTCCTCCAACATTTCAGGTCTTGGTACTGGCCTTTCTAGTACCTGCAGTACTGGCTAGCCCCATCCCCCACTCTCATGGGACACTCTCTCCCTTCATTCAGTGAGGCGCAAAGGTCACATTATTCCTGAGACTGCTGCAGAGTCTTCCCACACACTCCCTAATGTCACTTCCAATACCCGCCTAAAACCCTTATTTTGCACCATCTGGCATACTAAATATTTGTCTGTTGGTTTAGGGTATGACTCCCTTTTGGAACATGGTATRGTGCATAATAGGTGATCAACAGACATTTATTGAATTAATGAATGTAACYGTACCATTTGATGTTTTTCAAAGAAAATCATGTGCATTAATTACTTTTCCAGTGAAAACAATAGTGAAGGAGTGAATGATGCATTAACCTTTAAAATGTTTACTATTATAGAGGGAAAATGTCTAAACTTCTCAACATGTAAAGCGTTCCTTATTAGCTATGGGCAACTAAATTGACCTGTTTATCAACTGGAGCAATTAATTAATTGTCAGAACTAAGATTAAATGTGGGTGAAAGTGCTATAAAAGTTACCAAAAGCACACAGTCACTTCTGTGCGTGGAGCCTAGGAACAGTACATGGCTTTAACTCGCTCTGAGGTTTAAGGAGAGAAAAGTACCAAGAGCAACTAGGAAAACCCACRGTGGCGCTGGGCGTGTCTGCCAGCCGCGGTTGCCACGGTAACCAWGAGAGCGTCCCGGGAGCCCGGGCACGCACGCCCGGGCCTCTCCTCTCGACCCGCCCTCAGCGAAAGCAATAGGTGGAGCGCGGGCCAATCGGAAGAGGCCGCAGGGGCGGGGCCGCAGAGTCCGGGGAGGGCGGTCCCGAGGCCTCCCTCCCCGACTTCCGGGTCGCGGTGTTTGCAGGGAGCGCTTGGCTAACAGCGTCGTTTCCGTTGCCGGCTGTTTGCAGTTGGGGAAACCGAGGCAGCTCCAGCTTCCCCTAGTTCTTCCGCTGCTGTGAGGTGGCTGCTGTTTCTTTTCTCTCACCCCGCGCCGCTTCCGTGCGGCTGCGCCGAGGGCAGCGCGAGCCCTGCGCCTTCCTGCGGGAGTTGCGCGGGCGCCTGGGCCGCGCGGCTTTGTGCGCGCCGTCCCCTCCCACTCGCAGCAGCGCKYGAGCCGGACGCTGCGGTGCTGCGCTGGGGGCTCGGCGCAGMGACGCCCCGAGGTCTGGGAGCTGCGGCGGGCGCGAGTCCAGCGCTGCCTCGGCTTCTTTTGTCCTGAGGAGCGCGGACCGGATGAATTCAATTTAAAGATACAGATCATCCCGTCTGTGCTGTGCGCTGTCTCCGCACTGCTCTGCCAGGATTTCGAATCTGACAACCCCTCGGGCCCTATTTCAGAGAGGCAGGGTCTGTGGGAACGTTTAGGGCGGGAAGGAGATGAGCATCTTCTTTTTTAAGTATCTGCCCCTCACTTGCATCTCCTCTTCATTGAGGAGCTGAAGAGTTTCCTTTGAACATCCAGTTTTATCAAGTGTGTAGTGTTTTTGTTTTCAGGGTGTCGGGGGGTTAACCTCTTATTATTATTTCTGCACTTCATCTATTGAATGGAAAATGATGAATTAGCTGGAGTGTGATCTACTCTGCTTTCAACTTTTGTACTTGAGTTTGTAAGCCATGTGTAGTGTCTTTATTTGCCTGACATCAACTGACTGTGCGACAGTTGTAACAAATTATCCACAAGGGTTTAGAAGAGCTTATTCCTTATAGAAACAATTCTGATGTTAGATATATTATATTGGTTGTTTAGTTGGGGTCCTCTTGTTTTTAAACTGCTTAGTCCCAGTTCTCAGAGAGGGATAAAATAGGAAAGTATGAAATATTTGGGGAAAAAAATGGAGACCTTCTATTAGCTTCTTTTAAGCCATTAAGTGACTGATTTGAGTTCTTTTGATCTTTACAATTTTTAAAGTGATAAATTGACCTTCTGGCTAGCCATCATTTAATTAATCTGGGCTGTGGATTACGCCTGTTGTGGTTTTCATATTAAACACCAATTAAACACCATCACCAAATGGACACAATGAGTTAATAGATTTTAATATAATCTCAGATTTGGCGAGTTGGGTAAACAATTTTTTTTGTAGTTTTAAAATTCAACTTTAAGGTCATTAAGTTTGTCTTATGTATTTTCTTCTCCAGGAAAAAATGTTTGTTACTTTGTGGGAGTTCTTCTATGGGCACTTTTTTCGATTTTGGATGAAATGGCTCTTACGACAGATGACTGGAAAGTGTGAATTGCAGCGAATTTTTGATACCTATGTGGGTGCCCAAAGGACACACAGAATAGGTAATGTTATTCAAAAAGATAAAAACTAATAAAACTAATTCAATATATTTTAGTTCGCATGGTGATGATGTACTTCTTGTTTGTTCTGATCAAGTTAATTAAAGTAAGTTTCATAAACTTTGTAATTTCTGAATAGTTTCAGCTTTCAATTTTCTTACTTTATGGAAAAATGTTTATATGTATATTTACATTTATGTATTCCATATCAATGCAAACAGTGATCCTCTCTGGCTTCATAAATTTACCACTTGTTCCTTAGATGCTAGTTACAACCTATTTCCTGAGAATTTTTTTTATATTCTATTTGAAACAGTACACAAATAATGTGAAGAGTGCTTCAGTCTACATCCACTTTTATACTTAGCCTCAGTTACCAATCTTAATTTCTTACTGTTACTTATGAAAGGACAGTAATTAGTCATTCAGTAGTCCCTAGAAAAGGTTATTAGACTCAAAATCTACACTGACCAGTACCATAGCCAGTAGCCACTTTTGGTAATGGAGCACCCGAGTTGTGACTAGTGTGAATTAAAATGTGCTATAACTGTAAAATACACACTGGATTTCAAAGACTTTATTTGAAAAAGATTTCAAAGGCTTTATGTGAAAAAAAGAATGGAAAATGTCTTATTAATAATTGCTTATGTTGATTATTGAAGTGATATAATATTTTGGACCTATTAAATTAAAGTGTATCAAAGTTTTGTTTCTTTTACAGTAATGTGGCTATGGAAATTTTAAAATACATATTGGCTTGCATTATATTCCTGTTGAACAGTGCTACTCTCTTTGTAAAATATCTTAGTTTTTCAATAGCTAATTAAACATATTGCTGTAAAGTAGAACAGAAGAGTGAAAAATGTGGTTAGAAGTTACTTTTTTAGCCAGGGTAAGGAAGATCTGGGAACTGCTGCAGATCATGAGCTCTGTATTAAATGGAAAGTCGTAAACTAACCAGGTCCCCTTTTGTGTTGTTCAAGTGTGCTTCAAATGTGAAATCAGCCCTGTAAAGTGGAGAGAGTGGGGTGTTGGCAGTCTGAATGGGCATCCAAGACAGCACTGGAAGAATGACAGAAGCCGCCTCAGGGCAGCTAGATGATTGAAGTTTTAATTACTTTCCTAGTTCTCTTACAACTTACTGGTTGACTTAAATTATTGTCTGCTCTTTTGACTTGCCCTTTTGACTGCTCAGAAGAACAAAGTACCTCTTGATAAGAAGTCTCTACAGGAAGCATTTGTTGGTGTTTTCTAGTGTGAGAGAAGAATATATGTTAAAAAGCTTTACTTTGTGGTAAAAGCATTTTTCTTGAATTTTTCAAATTGCTGAGAAGACTGTTAGTAACTGTGCCACACAAATATTTTAATAGATCAGTAAAAATGTTCTTGTCATTCTTGACACAGAAGCCAGGAATGAAGAAGCTATTTTGCTCTTGGGTGAGTAGATGGTTAGCCAGATAACCTAAAGTCTTGGTCCCTTTGTTCAGGTACAGTTCAGTTGCTAGCACCTCAGGTCTTAATGCTTAATTCTTCAAGGTTGACAAAAGAGGAACATATAGTAGAGAGCACACTGTGGTCTTCACATGAGTTTCTGGAACCTGAGCTATTTGTGGTCACTTTGGGGTCTAAACATGAACCAAGACCCTGGAAAAATTAGGTCAGCATTGCCTATTTGGCTTGGTATGTTGTATTTGGTTGAGGTTTTTTTGAATGAAAGCTGCTTCTTTAACTGTAAGAATAAATTTTAAAATGTTTGCTATGTTATATTCATGTATAAATTATATCTTCTCAAACTGAAAGTAATTCGTGTTTTGCTATTTTTACTGTTTATGGAGCTATTTATAGAAAACATTGAAGTGATAAATTCCTTTTTTTTAATTTCAGAAAATTCCTTGACATACTCCAAGAATAAGGTAAGATCATTTTAAGACAATGATTCTAAAAAACAAGAAAATACCATTTATTTAAAAGAATGCCTCAATTTAAGAATTCATTATTTTTAGTGTCCATGTCTTTGCGATAAAGAACATTGAGAAATTTTTTCCAGAATATAACAATAAGTCTATTTTCAAAACATTTTCTTTTTGAATGTGTGTGTGTATGTGTGTGTGTGTGTGTGTGTGTGTGTGTGTGTGTGTGTGTGATGAACAAAGATGATATTTGAATAGTTCTGAGTCGTTTCCCCCTTTAGTTTGCCTTAAGAGTTTATAGTGTTTGGGAAAACAGAGTCTTAGGGTAGAACCTTCTTTGAGACTGTGTCCTCAAAAGGAGGACATGTGAGAAAAGGGCGAGCAACTTTGCATCAAGAAATCTTGTGTCATGCACCTGTGTACCTTTTGATCCACAATAAGCCCTGATATATAGCAGCTTATGCTATATATTAGTCAGCATTTGCTGAACAAGAAACTTATAAAATCTCAGGAGCATAAAGCAGTATGTCATCTCTTGTGTCTGGGTTAGCTGGAATAGCTCTTCTTCGAGTTCTTCAAGTTCAGCTCTATTTCATGTGTTTTACTCTGGGACCAGGTAGGAGATGCAGTTGGGTATCAACAGAATGCTCTTACAGTAGATCACCGGTGGTCAGCCACACAGATGTATGTTAAGCCTCATGTGTCATTTCCATTAGCATCCATTGTTTAAAATAAGTGGCCAAGTCCAAGTGAAGGAGAGGAGAATTACACTATGCCCACCATAAGATTGTGATAGGTGGGTAGGTGTATAATTGACTTTCAGAGCAGTGAAAACTTGGGACCAATATTTCAGTCTTTTCACATGCTGCTACTTCCCTTAAGTAAATTTTGTTATGGCCAAAGATTGAGTTTGAGTCATGTAGACTCTGCTCAAAATTATGCCCCCTCAACTCTCCCTGGAGTCTTTCTTTAGTTGTTTCGCCTTTTTATTTTTTCCTTTTTCAATTCTCTCCTGCACAAAAGAACAAAACAAAACAGTGTTGCTTTTTGGGTTGTTGAAAGCCCATTAATAGATCACAATCCACACTAAACAACAATGAAAGGAATAGAGTAGAAAATATATGAGATAGATTTGTGCTAGAAACAGAATGGATGTTGTTGAGTGTGAAAGCGATCTGTTGTATTCTGGAGAGTGACCTATAAAGTAGGGGCTTTACTAGTTCAGTTGTAGTCTGTTAGTTTTGATTTGTCTGTGTAAGGCGAGAGGAGGCCAGAGTCCTCTTTTGTCAGAATCATAAATTGTGATTAGTGGTTTTTTTTCTTTCTAATGAGGCTGTGGAATCCAGAAAGCTAGCAAGTTACTGGTTCAAAAGATCTTTTTATACCTTACCCACCATGTAGTTCCTTTAATTGAAACTTATGATGTAGCTACCTAAAGGAACGATATTTTAAATTGTAATAGACGCACTTGACAAGTGGTTTATGTCAATCTATTAAAAGAGTAACTCTCAAACTTGAGAATGTGTCAGAATCTTCTGGAGACTTGTTAAAGTACAGATGGTTACGTTTCACCTCCAGAATTTCTTATTCACTTCTGATTCCAGTCAACATGTTTCCAGGTGCTGCTGCTGCTGCTGCTGGTCAGGGCCCTGCTTTGAGGGTCTTCATATTTATGCTCTGGGAGGGATCATTTTGCCTCATAACTGCTCTTTGTTTCTCTAGGAAACAGTATGTTCATTTTCCAAATGACCTTAAGCAAGTTGTGTTTCAAAATGTCAAAAATTTGGAACTATTTGGATGCTAAACCCTCTAGAATAAATTGTCCTGTGAAATGTGCTTTCTTTCAGTTTTGAAATTGCAGAGTATAAAACTGTAACTAAGCTCTTTAGCTGCACCCAGAGTCCTCAGCCATCACTCGCAGTTCTGCAGGAGTGTGTGCATTCAAATACCTTGATACCCTCTGTCCCAGAGTGTCCCTCAGAACTCCACCTTGCCCTTCAGAATCAAAATTACCCGGCCGCAGGAACTTTATGTCTCATCTTTCTCCTGCAGTTAAAAGCTTAACTTAATTCCTCATCCTCAGGTGTTTGCTCAATCTTGACCCTCTTCATGAGCCCTCTGACCACTCTCTGCTCAAAATTATGCCCCCTCAACTCTCCCTGGAGTCTTTGTTTAGTTGTTTCACCTTTTTTATTTTTGCCTTTTTCCATTCTGTCCTGCACAAAAGAATAAAACAAAACAGTGTTGCTTTTTTGTTTACTGATATATCAGTAGTTCTGAAACAGAGTCTAGAATGTAATAAAGGCTTGGAATATAAAAGGGCAAAGAGTAGAAGGTAAATGAAAGTTTCCTTTTTCTCCAAATAGAGTCTGTAGCATTTCTTTCATTGCTCCTTCACTAGCCAGGTCCTAGAATTGAGATGGCATTGTATCTGACAGTGTAACTGTTATCACTATAATAGATTTTAACAATTTGTCTCAGAATTTATTAATGGGATTGGTGCATGGTAAAATCATGAAAGCTTAAGGGGAATAGTATATAGGGTATTACTTTAAGAACTCTGCTACACTGGTCAAATCTTAAGTTCAGAATGAGTGACTACCATATGTTCAGTATTCCACTGGGGGCTTTGATATATACAAAAGAAGTAAAGTTTGGTGTGAATTTCATTATACGTAGGAGAGAAATAGAGACTGATATCAAATGTTATTATATACAGGAGTTCAGACAAGGAAAAGGTAAATTGGGTCTAGAGCATTTGGGGACTCTTAAGGTACTGGTGGTATTTACTAGCTTTAAAAACTCATTTGGAAAGTAAAAATTAAATTTGTATTCTTATGACTTCATCATTAAAAAGTGTAAATTGATAATAGTGCACAGGCATACTGTTAAAAGATTGATCAACAAATGAGTACTTAAAAACTGAACAAAATCACAGGTGCTTTGTTCTATTGAAGTTTTAAATCTAAGGCAAACTTGTTAATATTAATACATAGAGAAAGCCTATCAATTTACACATGTACTGTGTATCTCTTTTATTTGTATATGTCATTTACTTTAAAGAGAAAGTCTAATTCTGATTAAGAGATATTTCTGTTGACCAAATCTACTTATTTATTATGTAAAAAAAAGGCTAGGTTTAAATTCTGGTTTTAACTGCGTACCAGTTGTCCTACCTTATATAGGTTACTTATTTTTGTGTTGTAAAAATATTAACATCCACATGGTTTTTTTAGGATTAGAGATTTTAATATGAAAGCAATCTTAGGGAATACCTAATATTGATAATACTAATGATAATGGAATTAAACCAATATATATTACAAGAATTTTAGTAGTTGGATGTTCATGAAAATGTTTGTCATTACCATAATGTCTGAGAATAAAAGTGATTTTATTTATTAAGGCTGGTTCTTGAAGTCGTGATCTCAGAGTATGTTTTTGTTGGGTTGTGAACTGTCCCTCATTGGATATTCTTTGTTAAAAATTGAAACTCATCATCTTGTTTTTAGACTAGGGCCTTCTTATCAATGACATAATAAGCACTACTAAAAAAAATGAAATCCCTAAGTATATGGAAAATAAACTTTTAAGTAATCTATAGGTCAAAGAAGAATTCATAGGAAAATATAAAAAGAAAATTGAACTAAATAATAAACTCCCATCAAAATTCCAATGATATTCTTCATAGAAATAGAAAAAGCTGTCATGAAATTCATTTGGAAAAATAAGAAGCCCCAAATAGCTAAAGCAATCCTTAGTGAGAAAAACAAAGCAGGAGGCATCACAATATCAGACCTTAAGCTATACTGCAGAACTATAGTAACAAAAACAGCATGGTGTTGGCACCAAAATAGACAAGACCACCAATGGAACAGAATAAAAAAAAAAACACAGACAAACCAGCTTAAATGTTGCTTCATACTAAAGCACCAAAAATACACACTGGAGAAAAGATAGCCTCTTCAACAACTGGTGCTGTGAAAACTGGAAATCCACATGTAACAGAATGAAAGTTAGCCCCTATCTCTCACCTGTACAAAAGTCAGCTCTAAGTGGATCACAGACCTAGAAATTAGACCAGAAACCCTGCGCGTCCTAGAAAAAAATGTAGGCCCAATTTGACTTTAGTATGTTGGCTCAGGAACTAAATTCCTTAACAAGACTCCAAAAGCTCAAGAAATAAAATAAAAAATCAATAAGTAGGATGGCATCAAACTAAAAAGCTTCTTCATAGCAAAGGAAATAAGAGCATGAAGAGAGAACCTGTAGAATGGGAGAAAATCAGCTTCCTGTACCTCAGACCATTAATTTCCAGGATATACAAAGAACTCAAAAAAACTTAACACAAAACAGATAATCCAATTAATAAATGGGCAGAGGAACTGATCAGACCCTTCTCAAAAGAAATAAGAATGATGAGCAAATACATGAAAAAATGTTCAACATATTTAGCAGTTAGAGAAACGCAAATTAAAACTACACTGAGATTTTATTTTACTCCAGTCAAAATGGCAACTATCAAGACTACATTACAATATACATTGTTACTACAAGTAACAATGAATATTTGCAAGGACTTGAGGAAAAGGGAACACTCATACATTGTTGGTTGGACTACAAATTGGTGCAAACCCTCTGGAAAGCAATATGGAGATTGCTCAAAAACTAGGAATGGAACCACCATTTGACTCAGTTATCCCACTCCTTAGCATATATCCACAGGATTTAAAATCAGCATACTACAGTGATGCAGTCACATTGATGTTTATAACAGCGCAATTCACAATAGCTAAACTATGGAGGCAACTTAGATGCCCATCAACAGATGAATGGATGAAGAAATTATGGTATGTGTACACAATGGAATATTACTAAGCCATAAAGAAGACTTTAGGTCATTTGCCAGTATATGGATGGATCTGGAGACTATCATGCTAAGTGAAATAAGCCAATCCCAGAAATTCAGTCATATGTATTACTCTTTTTATGCATTATGTGGGAGAGAGGAAGAAGAGAAGCTCAGTAGATTAGACAAAGGGGAACAAAGAAAGGGAGAGTGGATAGGAGTAGGAAAGACAGAATAAATCTAACAGTTCTCCTATGTACATATATGAATTAGACCTAAGTGAATCCCACTATTGTGTCTACCCACAAGAATGGGGTTGTAACTCGTATAAGATCTATTCCATGCTTATATAGTTTTATCAAAATAGATTCTACTGTCATGTATAACTAAGAAAAAACAATAAAAAATTTAAAATACTACCATGATATATCTCATACTTGATAGAATGACTATTAAAAAAAGAAAGAAAGAAAGAAAGCCAAAGGATAAGAAATGTTGGCAAGGATGTGGGGGAAAAAAATCAAAATTTGTGTAGTTCATCAAATCAGTTTTTAAAGGCATATCTGTATTTATATTTTGAGAAACTGTTAAAAAATAAAATGAAGCCCAAAGTAAATACAAGAAGGGATATTATTAAAATAAGATTTTTAAAAAATCAGTGAAACTAGCAAACAAAAGATTTATCAACAGTTCACAAGTTGGTTCTTTAAGAAGCTTAATAATATTAATAACCTCTAGTAACACTGACCAGATAAGAGAAAACGCAGATTACCAATGTTAAGATTACAGAAGGGGCATCGCTCCCACCTCTAGTTATTAAAAGTCAAGGGGTACCGTGAATTGCTTTATGCTAGTGAATGCCATAGCTTGGAAGAAATGACCAAAGTCCTTGAAAACAAGTTTGTCAAACCAATACAAAAAGAAGTGAAAACCAAAGTAACCATATACCCAGGAATGAGATGAAATATATGAATTAGAATTTTTGCACAAATCTCCAATCTTGGCTTCACTAGTGAATTCTTATCAGCATATACAGCAAAACATTACATATACAGCAAAACATTAGTAATTTGATTCCAGTAATGCATAAAAAGAATAATACATTATGACTGAATTTTCAAAAATCAATGAATATAATTTACCATAGCAACAAAGTAAATAAAAAAATATAATTTCAGCAAATACTAGAAATACTAGAAAAACTGTTTTAATACCCATTCATTATTATAAACTCTCACTTAACTAGGAATAGAAAGATTTCCTCAACCTGTTAAAGGTGACCTATGAAAAACCTGCAGCTAACATGATGGAAAACCTGTGCTCTGCACATTTAATTGAAAAGCAGGACAAGCATGTATACTGTCTTTATTTTTGTTCAGCGTTGTGCTGAAGATTCCGGTAGTGCAATAAGCAAGAAGAAGAAATTTAAGACATAATAATCAGAAAGAGGTAAAATGTTATTAACAGAAGACAGAGTTTGTAATTAGAAAATCCTAAGGAATCTGCAGAAACTACAAGCATATTAATAAATAAATTCAACTGTCTCACAGAACACAGTGTACTTCTATATGTTAGTAACAAACTTGGACAATAAATTAAAAAAAATAATACCACATGCATTAGCATCCAGAAACAAAATATTTGGGATCAATTTAAGCCTTCTACACTCAAACTCTTGGAGAATAGGGTTGGTTTTTTGGTTTTTGTTTTTTGGTTTTTTTGTAATTGTAGGTGGACAGAATGTCTTTATTTATTTTTATGTGATGGTAAGGATCGAACCCAATGCCTCACACATGCTAGGCAAACACTCTGCCACTGAACTACAGCCCCAGCCCAGAGAACAGTTTTGAAAAAAAGTAAAATGGAAAGATAAGCTATGTTTATCAATTGGAAGACAGTACTGTTAAGATGTGAATTGACCTATGGATCCAATTCAGTTCCAATCAAAATCCTAGCAAGTTTGCAGAAATGGTAGGAACCTACAGTAGACCAAATCATTCTGATAGAAGTTACAGTACTCACATGACCTGACTTCAGGACTTTTCTGGGCAAATAGATGAATATAGCAGATGAAAGACCAAGACAGTGCCCACAAAGAGGTCATAGAACTTTTAATAAGAACTTTTAATAAAGAAGTTTAATAAGGAAAAAAAAGTCTTTTCAATAAATGGTGCCAGAATAACTGGATGGCCATGTAGGGGGAAGAAAACTCTCAATTCCTGTTGTTGGTTTTCTTTGATTAGAAACCCAGACAAAATATGCATATGATAATCCTTGGGGAAAATTTGAAACAAATTGGTTTGCTTTTGCATTTTCATATCTGTTTCATAAAGTCAGTTAAATGCCTTAAAATATACTTCTTTTTTGGCTTTCAGGAACTTTTCTCATTCACCTTTCTTTCATATAAATAGATTTTACAGAAAGCAACACGAGTTATTCAGAGTGAAGTGGACAGATGTGTAGAAGATATAATGAAGGAAAAGAACATTAACCCTGAGAAGGATACCAGGTGTGCTGTGTCCACATTATTCTCTTTTGTTACCCATTTACCTTCTGTGAGGTGTTGAGAACACACACATTGCAAACTTAGAGCTGAAGGTTTTGTGGAGATAATCGGATTTGACACTGGCTTCACTAGATGAACAGTGAAGGTCCAGAGAGGTAAGAGATAGACACAGGACTAAGACCTGTACCTCTTGGTTCCCAGTCTGTCTGCCTCTTAAGGTAGCTTAGCATTACTTTCCTAAGGTTGAATAACTTACTGTCCTTCAAAATTCAGTTCCGTGCCCTCCTCCAGCAATGTCCTCCAGTGGCTCCTCCTCTGGTGTTGGGGGCATTGCTGTGTCCTACTTGAACCATCTGCACTGCAATTCCTGCTGTGTTCTTCCATTAGAGGTGACTGAATGCTGGCTTGACACATTGCAGAGTTTTGCTTACTGTACTCAGGGATTTAGATGTTATCCTCTGGTTTTGAAGCAAACAAGCTGCATATTACATATGTATTTAAGGAAGGAAGAGGGTAGATTAGGGTGTGTGAGAGAATGGTAGGGAATAAAGGCAAAACAGGAAAGCAAATCATTAGGCAAAAAAAAAAAAAGATCAAGGATCAAGTCATAAATAAAGCAGGGGAATTAGTGACATGAGGATTGCTTTGAGGGACAGAAGGGCTTGAGACCTTTTTTTTATTATTATGTGTTTTAATTTCTTTCTCCCTCCCCATCCTTTTTTAAAAAAATACCTTTATTTTATTCATCTATTTTTATGTGGTGCTGAGGATGGAAGCCAGTGCCTTGCATGTGCTAGGCGAGCACTTTACTGCTGCGCCATAGCCCCAGCCCCTCTCCACCTTTTTATTATTGGCGCATTATAGTTGTGCATACTAATGGGATTTGTTCTTACATTTTTATATATGCACACAATATAATTTGGCCAGTATCATTTGTGGACCTTTTGATGTATGAATTGTAGATGGAGAAAAGTGGATCAGAAGTGTTCTAACTTCGGGAACTAATGTTTAGTTATGCCATTATAGATTAGAGACTTAGCATGTTTCAGGGAAGATCAGCTGTTATTTTTGGGAAAACTGAGATAACCTGTCATGGAACTCTTTGTTACATATGTACTTGGAAAATTTAGGTATGTTGATATCTGCTTGTAAAGATTTGGGAATGTGTGGGGTTGCCCAGATGAGTCCTGAGAAGAAGAGGACAAATGCTTGTAATTGCAAAGTTTGCCATTCCTACTGCACCTTGCCCCCTTTCCTAGGCCCTGATTTATCATGTCCTGTGTAATACTTTGCACAGTGTTCAGTGTTGAAGGATGCTGTTGATGTTTCTTCTATTAAACTGAAGGCCAGATGCTTCCTGATTAATTTAGGCACCAAAACCTGGGTAATGCAGTGTTTTATTGTGCTAAAAAGGTGTGAGTTTAAAATCATAATAATGTTACCATTTTCAGTTTTAAAATCTGCATGAGGACGTGCTTACTACAGATAACTGGTTATAAACAGCTATATTTGGATGTAGAAAGTGTGAGGAAAAAGCCATATGATTCTGATAATCTGCAGCATGAGAAGCTACTCCTGAAGGTAAATTTTTGTTTGTTATATTTGGAATTGTTTAACACTGGAAAACTTCATCAGTATGAGCTGGGTACATCTGTGAGCAGATTCTAGAGACTCATTTAGCCATACAGTTTCTCTGCCCCTTGGAAAACTTTACTGTTAGATTTCTTATTATGGAAAGTTTTTAGTCAACAATTTTTATAATTTTTTGATAAGCATCATTAAAAGATTTTCAAATGAATTTTATTCTAATGCCTTTAATATCAAAATAAATTACAAATTCATAAAGGGAAATCTTTTCAACCAAAAATATAGATCTCCAAGCCTCAGATTTTTCTCTCTACTTTTTATATAAATTACTCATGTAAGGTTAGCATTTTTTAGCTGTTCTGAAATTATGAATATGGATGACTCATTACAGATTATTATGTCAAACCTTTTGGAATTTATGGAATGTTGAATATTAATTGCCGAATAATGCCACAATAGATTGAAACATTAAGAAAGTAAGAAGAAAATTATTTATTTTTTCTTATTTCTGAATGTAAATACATAAGACCAATGAGGTGCCAAAATTAAAGAATGTCAGCTCTAGAGTAAGCTCCACAGATGTCTCCTGTGCCCTGTTGTTGTAGGGATGAGAATACCAAGGCCCAGAGGAGATGAAGTGATTCCCTGTAGGTACGAGGTGGTCGGGCCTGGAAGAGACCTGAGACTCCTGCACGTCGTCTGTACCTGTTCTAATTATATTTTAAACTGGTTAAAATGAAAGAAAAGCACAGTGGAAATTTTTATAACTAAAAGTACTGTGGAAATAAACATTGGCAGTATCTAAATAAGAGACTTGAGTTTAAAAACAACAAAATCCTTTTTTCCCCAGGAAAAGTATAAAATATATACTTCATCTAAGTGGGAAAAGATAAATAAAACTTGATTTTGTAAAATGAAACCAACAAAGGGCCATTGTATAGATAGAGTTTTGTATTTGAATTGTTTGAAATAGTTCATGGCATTCACTGAGGATTAGCTGCTTTCTGTCCTTGTCGTCATCATTTTTTCTTTAATTTCAGACCCTTTCTACATAATACCTTCCCTTAAGGTTAAGATACAAGTCGTAGGATTCTGGTCCAGGGACTTTTTATCTTGGTGATTTCTTAAGAAATTTGGTTCTAGAGGCAGAGAACCAGATGGTGGTGGTTACTTACGATGGCACATATTCAGCTGTCTTACTGGGTATAGAGCTGTGGGATCTGTGTCGCTCTGCCTAGTCCAAGGACCACCTTCATTAGACTTAACCAGTATTTAATATTTATCCCTCCCACCTTATGAAATCAGAATCTCCAGGGGTGGAGTCCAGAAATGTGATCTTTATACATATTAAATCTCTGAGTACTAGTTAGTGGTTTTACACTGCAGCTCTGACCACAACATGGCATAACCAATTCCTGGGGAATTGCTAATATGAGCAAACCACATGATTTGGCAATAAAAGTAGGGACAAGATAAAACCCAATCTAATGATCGAATTTAGCTTCAGAGCCAGAATCCTGGCCCTATAGTTTCTAAAGGAATGTCCCAAGTCTTCACATTTTATTTTAGGTAACATTAGGAATCCTTTACTCAACAATGCCTGAATAGTAATGGAATGGGGAAAAATAAAAGTTTTCACAAATGTTTTTTATCAACTTCTGTTAGTCTGTTTGATGACTGTATTGATATTTGAAAATAACTAAATTACATTGCATTGATTAGTTGATTGGTATCTAATATTTGATAGCTGTTTTCAAAATTCTCAGTTTTAATGGTTATATTTACTTTAAATGAAGTCATATTTTTTCCTTTCAAAACTGAAGATATTTATAAGATAATTATCCTAAAGGTTAGAATATTGTCAGAATCATTTCTTCATAATCGCCTTCCTTAGACCTATTTCCTTTTTTTTTTAATTAAGGATTAATCACCCACTGTTATGATAAAGCCTAGTTAAGTATTTAGGATCAATGGCCTAATTGTGTGTTCTTAAGCAAGCAGTTTACCAATTCTGATATATATGCACTAATTAACAGATAAATGCATCTCATCTTGATGTTTGAGTTTGCTGTGTATTTTTTTTTTTTTTGCTGTGTATTAATTGCTACCTTTTCACAATCCATACCAATCTTTTTTTAACTGGAATAAATTTCTTCTTTTTAAAGATGATTGAAAAGTTTTCTGAATATAGTCTTTGTTGAACTTGTGATTTGTCTGTAAAGATTGTTTAATTGAAAGTATTCAGTGACTAGTTATATAAGGTATGCGAAGGAAAATGTTCTGGTAAATTAAGAACATCACTATTATTTGTAATATGGAAGCATGTTTGTGCAGCTTTGGAATCTTCTAATGCCCACAAAGAAGTTGACAGCCAGAATCTCCAAGCAGTGGGCTGACATTGGTTTCCAGGGTGATGATCCTAAGACAGACTTCAGAGGCATGGGTATACTCGGATTAATCAATCTTGTGTAAGTGAAATTGAACTTTCTTTTTTTCTCTAAATGAAATTACTTATAATCTCCAGTCTAGTTTATTTCTAATAAGAATTGATCTCTGAATTTTAATAGCTGTGGTACTAATGTGCTGGCATCAGTCTGAAGGCACTGGAAATACACTGTGTGTGTGTGAGAGATTCCTTTACTTACCAGTGCTTTCCTCTTTCTGACCCCCTTTTCAATGCCTCTTGGAGGATTAGGTACTTTCTTTTCTCACTCTTTTTATCCTCTTGTCTCTCTGAACTCTGATTCCATTAAGAGATGTATAACCAGATAAGGAGATAGTCTCTTCATGTGTGTTCTGATCCAAATCCCCGACTTTTCAGAGTCTATATGGACTCACTCTTATTTAATACTTATAATTTGGTTCATGTGTGAAATTCCAAAATATTCAACTTAGATCTCAATTGAGAGCCAAAACTATACTAGAAAAATTAGAAGATTAATTTCCTCCTATAAGGATATGCAGATGACTTACCAACTATAAAATGTCTAGAATGGGAAGTTAAACATTAAGGTCTGAATAATTCTTACTTTGAAAAGAATTACTAAACCTGAAATTGAGATAGATTAATATTGAGAAAAAAAATTTAGTCAGTATTGATACTGGGAAAATAGCAGACTTAGCTGGGCTCAGTGGCACATGCTTGTAATCCTAACACTCATGAGGCAAAAGTAGGATGATTGCATGTTTGAGACCAACATTGGCAATTTATATCCTAAGCAACTCAGCCTGTATCAAAATTAAAAATATAAAAGGGCCAGGGATATAACTCAGTGGTAAATTGCCTCTGGATTCAATCCCCGGTATTTAAAAAAAAAAAAAAAAACTTATGGTAGGATGTCAATTCCTGCAATTTTTTCAATTACCAATAATAAAACATGATAATGTAAAAAAAAATGGTTAGCATTCACCAGAAAAGATTTTAGTTTAGCTTAAAGTATAAATAATTTAATAGGATTTGACTCTAGACTGTGGGTAGAGATTCTGTTAAACTTTTAAATGATTCATAATATTTCCACACTATTTAGAACTACTGTTAAATTTTTGAAAAATGACCAGGACTCGCATATATTTGTAATTATTTGATTGCCAACAATATACTAGAAATGAATGAAAATATAAAATCAGCTCTGACTCCTCCATAATTTTGCTGTTTTCCTGCATATGGAGCTATGATATTACAATATCCAAATATACAGCTAAGGAACAAGCAAGATATTAAAATGTCCTTATGTAATATATTATCTTTTAAATTTCTTGGCCTTTGGCATGTGATCTCTTAAAATATTGTTTTGCAAGACTTTAGATCATTGAATGACAAGTCAGCTATAGAAAAAGAAAGGAGGCCACGCAATGCATTCAAGGGAGACGGAAGAAATCTAAATTAATTAGAAGGTAGAATCTGCAAGTAAAGGCTAAAATGTGTTTAGGGAAGAAGGAAAAGGAGGTAAGTAGAAGGGGGGAAATGAAGTAAGGAATTCAAAATGCAGATCATTTGTAAATAAGTTTACCTTATTGTATAGATGTTTATTTTTTACCATTAGATACTTTTTTTTTTTTTTTTTTTTTGGTACAGCAGATTGGACCCAGGGGTGCTCAACCTCTAAGCCACATCCCCAGTCCTTTTTATTTTTTATTTTGAGACAGGATCTCACTAAGTTGCTTAGGACCTCAAAAAGTTGCTGAGGCTGGCTTTGAACTTGCAATCCTCCTGCTCAGCCTCCCAAGTCACAGAGATCACAGATAAGTACCACTGTGCCTGACTTCACCATTAGCTACTTTAAGATCATGGATAGCTAAATAAATCCAGCAAGGAGATTAAGTTACTCTATTACAGACTGAGTATTTTAAAAGTAGTATCACTTCTACAGTGCTGATGAATGCTTAAATATATGAGGAGTATTGTGCACAATGTGAAGTATAAACAGACCACAAAGGGCATTTTGGAGCTAACTTGGGGATAAAGTAGAACCTTAGAGCACTTAGGGGAACTGTGTACCAGGGAGGACTTTTTACTGTTTGGGGTTTCTGGATCCCATGAAAGACTTGAAAGCCTTGGGTGCTCTTTCCCCAAAAAAAGTATCCACAGAAAAATTCGTTCAAAATTTATGGTAGTTCATGGACCCCCCTCTTCATTTATAAATGATCCTTCCTTAAGGATCTCTAAATCAACCATGCCTGGATTAATGAGTTGAAAATTCAAGCCAGGGAAACAAAATGGAAGTGTATGTATAGTATTATTCCAAGAAGAAAAATAGAGGGGGAAGATTAAATTAGAAATTTCTATGCTTTTTATGAAAATTTCAGTGATTGTATCCTCTAAATTTTAAATAAACCGTGGAAGTCAGGTTTTATGTATAATTTGGTCTTCATATCAACACCTAATCTGTGTGTGTGTGTGTGTGTGTGTGTGTGTGTGTGTGTACACACCACTGCACTATGAAGTGAGACAAAGGTTGTTGCCTTAATATAGGCCAAAAGGACGGATGAATCTACAGATATATGTGTTCTGTATTTCTCATGTACCTACTGACAGTTCTGTTTACAGCCAGTATTGTAGTTTATACCATTGATCAAGAAGGATGTTAGGTACAAAAGGAAAATTATTTACTTTTTCTTTTCTGATGGCATTGAAAATGCCACTAAACAGTATAGACTTGTGTGATTCTGCAATCTGTACAATTAGAAAAATGAGAAATTATATCCAAATGATATAGATGTATCAATTGCCAAGGTCATTGTAATGTCATGTGTAGATAATAAAAAAAAATACAGACTTAAGTTGTAGTAGAAACAGTAAGCTTAGGTGAAAAGAAAAGAGTGTCTTAACAGATACAGATTAACTTTTTTATAGAAATAGAATGAGCAAATTAAAGAAAAATAACTCTACAGGGTTTTTTTTTCTTCTTTTGTCTTTTTTAAGTAGGTAGGAAGTCTCTTTTTAGATGATCTATTAAAACCTTTGCAATTTTGCCAAAGGTCCATGTCCTAGAATAGATAGGACTGATTGGGATTGAATGTTCGTTTGGAAACATCTGAATCACTGAAGTGATATGAACTGGATATCAGGATGACAGGTCAACACTAGGACCATCATATTGACAATAACAGTGGCTTCTGGATATATTGAATTTGAATGACATATACTTCCTTCGTTATTTTCCTTATTTTTTTTAGGTATTTCAGTGAAAATTACACCAGTGAAGCTCATCAGATTCTTTCCCGCTCAAATCATCCAAAATTAGGGTAAGCTGGATGACACTGAGAAACTTGTCTCTTGCTAAGGTGATTACATGATTAAGTGAATTTGAAGGTATTTCTTAAAATGAGATTATTTTAAGAAGAAAGTTAAGTAGAAAACAGGAGAGGAAGACAGGTAGGGAAAGGGGAAGTTCTACAGACTGAATTGGAGCAAATTATATTTCATGCTTGTATAATCATGTCAAAATGAACCCCAATATTGTGTATAGCTATAATGAACTAATAAAAAAAGCAATTGTTTTATTCAGAAAAGAGTTTGGGCTATGGCTAAGTGGTTGAGTGCCCTGAGATCAATCCCTGGTATCAAGAAGAAAAAAAAAAAAAACTTTATGAAAGATATTTCATGTTACATTATTCTTAAATAAAAAGTATAACCATAAACCAATTTTGTATATGTTTCAATATATTTTTATCACAAGATATAATTTAATCTATACAATGGAGAATAGGGGTCTTTAGAAAATTTTTTCAAATCCAGGCATGGCGTCACATGCCTGATCCCAGCCACTTGGGAGTCTGAGGAAGGAGGATCTCAATTCAAGGCTAGTCTGGGCAAATTAGTGAGATCATATCTCAAAATAAAGAGGATACAACTCAGTGGCAGAGTACTTTCCTAGCATGTGTGAAGCCCTGAGATCAATCCCCTGAGATCAAAAAAAATTTTTTTTCTCAAAATGGAGTTGAAAATAGGAATAGCTTCAAAATAGGAAAATGAGAAATAGCTTTGAAAATTACTAAGTGAAATGCAAATTGAGGTCATGTAATTAATTAGTTTTTTAATATTCTGATGAAACTAATCTTTGGAAAAATAATGTTAGATCATAAAAATAAGTAAATATTCTTATAATGAAGAAGAAAATATCAAATTATTAAGTGTAGTTTAGAAACCAGTGAGATTTGTTGAATGTAATTCTCTTTGTTTTAGATGTCATGAAACAGAACTTTATTTTTATTTCTTATATTATACTCAGAAAATGAATAGACGTTAGAAAAAAATTTTGGACCCCTTCACTTTTATTTTTCTTATTTTATAGAGATTGTTATAAAATCAGTAGTGTATTAGAAATGAAGCAATTCTAATTTTACTGATTGCTTACATAATTTAAAATTTATTTTATGAGCTATTTGGCTAGCTGGTATAACTGGTCATGTTTCTGACATAGGTATTCTTATGCAATAGTTGGAATCAATCTCACAGAGATGGCTTATAGCTTGCTGAAGAATGAAGCTTTGAAGTCTCATCTCTACAACTGTGTTCCTGGTGTACCAACAATGGAACATTTTCACCAGTTTTATTGTGAGTATTAGAATAAGAAAGTTAGCTCTAAGAGAATTTTTAAACCATTAGTGTCTATTTTAATCTGATACCTCTATCAAGTATAAAGTTTATATTGTTATTTTTGATCTTTGAAGCCAGGAAAGTAATGGGATGGTCCATAAGAGTATTTGGTACTTCATTTCTATATTTGTTTATTAAAAAAAAATTGTGATATTTTTCAAGTGTGCAAATTTAGAATTTGTGTAGTTTTTCTGTAGCTTTTCATTTTCCAGTTACCCACAAAATGAATTTTCCCTCTCAAATACTCCCTAAGGAGTCAATGATAGATCATTTGCAGATTTTTTTTTTTTATACTCTTATAGGAAAATAAATTTAAAGGAATTTTTCACCCCTTTATTTCAAGGTCAGGTTGCCTGGTGTTAATTTGGTGTTAATACTAGAGCAGTCCTTTATTACAGTAACTTTTATTTTGATAATATTTGAACATTGATAGTTTAATTGAGCAAATCCCTCTTCTAAATCTACTGCTGAGAAGCAAAGAATTCATATCTAGCTTAGCTTTGCACTCTACTTTCCTTGGTATTTTTGTGGCTTTGGAGTATCATTTGCGTGTTGGGAGAATATGGGAAGCTACTTAAATACTAAGTGGCCCAGTTGGCTTCCTCAGTTCTGTGTGGAAAGTATCATTCATGGCTCCTTCTCGATCTCTGCTGCCTACTTACCTGCTTCAGTTTTGTCTACATCCTGAGTTTCTCCTGCATTGGTCTACTCTTCCTATCGCCTTTATAATACATGACATCGTACTTGTATCAGTGGACAGTTTGGGTGTTAATTAAGGCTTTTCTTCCCAGGAGTGACCTATTCTAACTAAAGGAATAGTTTTAAATCTTGTCTTCTGAAGACACATCATTTTGTTATTGGGAAAATGGGCCCAGTTAGCACAAATCAGTTCCAGCATCATGAATCCTCTCCAGAAGAAAAAACTATAGAAAGATTAACTTTCTTTTTTTATTTACATATGACAGCAGAATGCATTACAATTCATACTACACAAATAGAGCACAATTTTTCATATCTGTGGTTGTATACAAAGTATATTCACACCAATTCATGTCTTCACACATGTACTTTGGATAATGATGTGCATCTCATTCCATCATCATTTATAACACCATGCTCCCTCCCTTCCCTTCCAACCCCTCTGCCCTATCTAGAGTTTATTTATACCTCCCTTGTTCCCCCTCCCTACCCCATTATGAATCAGCCACTTTATATCAGAGAGAACATTCGGCATTTGGTTTTTTGGGATTGGCTAACTTCACTTAGCATTATCTTCTCCAACTCCATCCATTTTCCTGCAAATGCCATGATTTTATTCTCTTTTATTGATGAGTAATATTCCATTGTGTATATATATGCCACATTTTTAATCCATTCATCTCCTGAAGGGCATCTAGGTTGGCTCCACAGTTTAGCTATTGTGAATTGTGCTGCTATGAACATTGATATGGCTGTGTCCCTGTAGTATGCTCTGTTTAAGTCCTTTGGGTGTAGGCCAAGGAGAGGGATAGCTGGGTCAAATGGTGGTTCCACTCCCAGTTTTCCAAGGAATCTCCATACTGCTTTCCATATTGGCTGTACCAATTTGCAGTCCCACCAGAATGTATGAGTGTACCTTTTCCCCCACTTCCTCGCCAAGAGAAATTAATTCTTTCATATATTTTATTTCCTGGTGCCCACATTTATCTCCCTCTTTCTCTTTATTCTCTTGGCCATTTTTTGTTTCCTTTTTTATTCTTTGTATGAAAGGCTGGGAATAACAAGTGGTACCTTAGCTTCATATCTCCATTGTCACCTTCTGACCTGTGAGCAGGTATCCACTCTCACCCTGGCAAGCTGCTGACCACAGGTCTAGCAAAAGGGCTCAGGCACTCCATCTTTCAGATGCTGCTGTCCAGTTGTCCCCATTGCAGGATTTGAGCGCCGTTGTTTGAGCAGGACTTCTGGATTGGTGGTTCCAAAAAAATGGCATATCCCTTTTCTATGATTAAAAAGTTATAACTCAGTAACAAGTTTATTGGGGGATAACTTATATACATAAAGTTCTCCCTTTTTAAGTGTATATTTCAATGAGTTTTAGTGAGCTTCACAAGTTAGCCAGTCATCATCAGAATGCAGTTTTAGAACATTTTTTGTCACCTTAGTAAGATCCCTCATGTTGTTTTACCATTAATCCCCCTTCTTGTGTTTTCCTTATTTTTCACCCCTAAGTAAAACCATGCAGGAATTTTTAGGTTTATACTTTCTTATGAGTAACTTCTATTGAGTCCACCCTCTGAATGTCTAAAGAACAATATATATGCTTCATGAAAATAGCTCTTTTCCATTACTTTCTATAGGGCTTAAGAGGCTTGACCAAGATGTCCTGCCCACTTCCTGGACTCTTGATATCATTTTGTCCTATGTTTCCTGATGTTTTCATAAATCAGACTACTATTGCAGTCTCAGCTTTCAGGGCAGGCTTTCTCAGACACTCAGTTACATTATAGACCAGCAACTTCTCTGTAAAGCAAACATTTCTAGTACTTCACCAGTTTGTTCCAGGCCTGTGTAATCATTTGAATGGATCACATTGCTGACAGTAATGCAAAAGCAACTTACCATAAGGAGGGGGAAATAGCCACAACCTAATAACCAGAAATATTTTTTTAAAAGTATATCATAAGCTTTGATGAATAGCTGATTTTTCCTGCTATCTAGAACTTTATCTCTAGATTTTTATATTGCATATCTCTACCAATGTATTAGGAGTGGAGATGAGCATAGATTCAATTCATGTATTACAGGTAATTTCTACCCATATACTATTGCTTAATGTATGTACAGAATAAGTTTTGAATGAAATAAAGATAGGAAATAGCATTGAAAAACAATTACAAGTTTACCATTCTCAGTCCCTCTTTTGATACCAGAAGCAGAGGATATTTTTCTGGAAGTTTCATTCTTTGATTTTTCTCATATATTCTGATTGACAAAAATCTGTTTTATCTTACATCAAGAAATTAACCTGAAATCTTTTTATTTTGATGTTTATTTTTATTTTTGGTATTCTTGGGTATCAACCCAGTACCTTAGGCATGCTTAAGTAAGCACTCTACTAAGGAGCCACATCCCCAGCCCCAACCTGAAATCACTCTTAAGGTAACCTTCTTATGAAGTAAAATGTAATTGAAACATTCTGGCTCCTAATATTAATCTTTGCTTCTCTTTAAAATGGAATTTCTATTTGTTTTTCTCTTACTAGGCAATAGTAATAGTCTAGGCACACTTTATATAAAGTCATTGACTTATTTTCCTGACTTAGCTGAAATAAGTCACTTTTATCCCTTCTTGAAAGTCCCTTTAGAAGGCACAGTGAGGCTCTAATGAAAACAGAAATCCAAGACCACTTACAAACTGTGCATTTGGGGTACATCATTTGGCCTCTGTGCTCCTCTGTTAAAAGAGAAAATGAGCATATGGTGAGCACTATATAAGTAATTTAAAACTATTTAATAAATATATTTGGTTGAATGTAAAATAAGATTTAGGAGTGGTTTTAAATTTACATTTAAACTCATATGTTTAGTTTCACAAAATACTTTTTAACATTTTGAGGCTTCATTTGGGTTATTGTAATGAAGGTATTGAAATAACAAAAATATTAAACCTATTTGTACTTCACGTTATTCTTTTCAAAAAGAGAAAGTGCTAATAGTTCATAGAAAAAAATAACTCTTAGATTTAGAAATCAGGTGGGAACAGTTTTTCTTTATCCTAGTCCAACATTTTCTCATTATTCTCATTTTTGTGCTTCAGGTGTCTCTGAGAATATTTTCTTTTCCTTTTTCCAAGGTATCTTTTTAAAGTGCTGTATCTCTCAAATTTGAGAGATTTTGTAATTTTTGAGACAAACAGTAAATGTGCACTAAATATTCTATTGAATTGTTGTATATTTTGAACATAGATACTGTTTCTTACAAAATTTCACAGGTTTCTTTTAGTTTTACAGCTATTTTTGATGATTGTATCCGACTATGGAATTTAAGGGTGATTATATGCTTCCTAGATATAAGATGTTTTTAATGTGGTTTTACTGTTGAGGGCTTTATGTTTTGTTTTTCTTTAACTGCAGGTTATCTTGTCTATGAATTTGACAAGTTTTGGTTTCAAGAAGAACCAGAAAGCATCATGTATTTCAACCTGTACAGAGAGAAGTTTCATGAAAAGATTAAAGGACTCTTAATGGATTGCAATGTAGCACTTACTTTAAAAATGTAAATCACCCATAGTATCTTCTATTTCTACCACGTTTTGCACACACAACAGAATTTATATGTTGTAATAGAAAGTATCTGATCAATTACACTCTTATATATAATTTCCTACGAAAATACTTCAGAAATTCTATTTAAGAAAGCTAGTGGACAATCAGTGTATGTTTACAATTGTTTATACACTGTTCTCCAAAGGTACCTTATGCTTCCAAAGATCCCCTCTGTAGAGCCATGTCAGCTACAGTTTGGAACTTGGGACTTAGCCCGTTGTGGAAAAGTATAAATCAGGTATTTATATTAAATTGGTTAATGAAAATGTGTACAAGTCAGTTTTCATTCTTACGTGTCATAGCTATCAAATTGGTATCCTTTTAAAAACACTTTAAGTGTTTTGGCCTAGAATAACTGTTTTTAATTTGTTTTGTCTTCTTTTTATTTCTACGCTAATTAACAGCAAGAGTATTTCCTTAGGACTTTCTTTGCATCTCAATTACTTGTCCTGATGTCACTGTATTAGTGGTAACAAGAGCAGAGATGTCAGACAGGATCAAGAATCATGACCTCCTTTTTTGTTTTCTTTGGTTACTGAACATAACAGATAATGAGAGAATGGCGGTGTGACTAGCTTTGTTGTTTTTAAATACTGCTTTAAAAAATCACAGTGTTAAGGCTTACTGACATTTTCTCATTTTCAGTATTTGCTTTGCTTTTTATCCATTGTAGAAAAGAACCTTATTTACTTAGTGGTTTGGTGTGAGGGCTTCTACCTGCATGTGCTTATGAAAAGCAATGCATTTGCTAAAAGTCTTTCTTCCTTTTTTTTTTTTTTTTAATCCCCCTTCTTTCTGTACTGAGGATCAAGCCCAGTACCTCACGTATACTAGACAAGTATTTTACCACTGAGCTACTCCAGCCCAGGAAAATTTTAATTTTATTCAGCAGTTTCTACTAAAATAAAGCAGTCTTGGAAATTTAAGAAGAAAATTTAAAGCTTTTTAATAATCATTGGTTTTTTGACTGAACCATTAACTCTTGCTTCTCGTACTTTGAACTCTTGCTTTGACTCCGTGGTGTTTTGAGATAGCAAGTATGGACCTTCTGTTAACTGTCTGTGGGACACTAAAATAGCTTGACTGTGCATTTTGTATAGCTTTATTCTCCTAAAAAATCTCAGGAGGGCAGCAGGTGCTGTCAAGGATTACATGTGATGAGATCCTAATGGGAATTTCTTCTTGATGTGATTTACATGTTTGTACTCAGCAAAACTAAAGGAGCTTAAAGATAGGAAAGTTCATGTGATAACTAAGTCCTCCTTAAACCCTGTGGAATTCAACTTGTTAAAAGACATAATTTAAAGCATGATAATATTTTGCACATCTTTCAAACACAGACACACATACACACACACGTATATATACTGTTTAAATATTGACTTGTATGTGATATAGCAAGACTTGGTATTTTTCAAGTGTTTGCTCATGTCTGTTGACAGACCTCTCTTCAAACTTGTCAAGAGTGGTAAGAAATATCCAATTGGAAAGGAACACATGCAGTGTTTTATACCACATGCATTCAAGTACATGCATTAAAATGATTTTTTAAATAAAACTTTTAAAAACTTGGTCCATTTTGTCATAATAGTGACAATTTAACTCTTCAGTATTATAGGAAGTTCATAATTGATTTCTTATAGGGGACTTCTCACCTTTTGGGAATATCTTAAGCTGTTTTTCAAAAGTGTTTTCATGCTCTTTCTTTCAGCTGGAGTCTTCTGATGTGTAGCAGAATTTCAAACAAAGATCAGGTGTTAACCATGAAGTTCACTCTGTTACCGTATTAACTATTCTATGGAAAGTAATTCAGTTAGTCTTTAATTTTTGTGCTGATAATACTTGTTTATGTTTTAATCTTGCAACAACTGAGATCTTGATCTGATTTAAACCTTTGTCAGGATGCTTATTAAAAGAATGCTTGAAGTATGGATGGGAATACTGTTAAGTAAGTTTTTCCCCTTTTAGAGGGGGAAAAAATGAATGGGGTTAAGAAAATGTCATTATAAAGTTTTCTCATAACATGTTCTTCAGATTCATCTCTGTACATTACAGATGTTGTCCTGTTTTTGCTTAAAATAACCATAACTATTTCAGACACTGTGTTGTCAGTTGATCTAATGACCACCAGCAGATTCTCAGATTTGATAGTTTGGAAGGCAAGCTCTTCCCAAGTGTAGTGTAGCATGAGCCTTCTGACCTTCACGTCATAGTGACATATAAGAAAAGGACAATATAATGTTCTTCCTCCCTCCTTCCCCTTACTTTGAAATGTATGTTAGAATGTTATGTATTGTAAAAATCCATATTTAGAATTTCACCTTTTCTACGATTAGTAAAATGCCAAAGTAGTGAATAGGATATTATGGCATTGAAGTAGCAGGAAAATTATGTTAGTTTTAGCATCAAAAAGTAAAATCAACATGGAAATGAATTTTTGTATATGCCAGGTTGAGGAGATTACATCAGTGACAGGAGTAGTGTAAAAAAATACAATTTAATCATTTGCAGTTTAAATACATTCTGAAAGACAATCTAAAACAGGAGAAATCAGGAGGTTATCAGTGAACCTACACCAACCTCTGGCAATATAGCTAGAGATTAAAATCAGTATCTTAAACTGGCCATTACAGTTAAACCATTTATACTTTAGAAAACACATTTTTTTCTTACAAATGTCCGTTTTGTTTTTTTTTCTAAGAGCATCTTTAATTTTTTGTATGTGTTTACACTTGTATGTATGTACATTCTTATTATTCTGGCGTTCATACAATTGTGCACGCACTATTTCTCCCCTTTGAGAACATTCAGTTAAATAGAATTTGATCAAAGAGCTGCTCAAAGGATATATAGCATATGAACATGCAAAGGGATGCTTATTCTGGGATAGAAAAGGTCACGCAGCTTTGTGGCTTGCAGGGCCATAACGTTTATCATCTTCCTTAAAATGGTGACTGGGGACCAGCAGCTGATTTTCTCAGGATGTGTTCACCCTGCCTCTCTGAACAAGTCTGGGGAGCCTAAACTTCCACTTTCATACTTAAGAAGCTGTTCACACAAGCAATTTGTAGATGAAGATTAATGGAATTGTTAGTACTCTTAGAGAAACCATGACTTGAATTTGTGTTTTTTCTGTCTTCACCTTTTGATGAGAAGCATTAAAAGTGTAGTGCAGGTAAGACCCAGCGACTACAGTACTATTAGAGAGCAATTCTGTGTTTTTGTTGAAGTATTTAAAAAAAAATATTTAAGCAGTAGTGTTCCCTGCAGGAAGAATTGCCAGTTGGCAACTTAAATTAATTTTTTGTCTACTTGGATAAAGCGGTTGACTTCTTAAGCAAAAGCAATAGTGTGAAACGTGATGTCATTTTGTTTGTGATGTTAAGTGATCAAATAAAAACCTGTTGAAATTGTTGTAAGCCTTTCCATTGATGCACTTGCTGTCTTCTTGTCCTACCTTTATTTCAATTATTTATATTCATAAAACAATTTTGTCTTGTTTAATCATCTATCCTGGTGCCATAGGTGAATCTGAATATACAGAAATTTTTATTTTTGTGACTTTTTAACTCACACACGAATTACTACTTAAGATGTTATTTAATGAGAAAAGGAGATTATAATGCTGTATATTTGCTTCATTCTAAAACAAGCCACTACTTCCACCCCACCCTTTACAAAAGGGAGGGACAATTCATACTGTACTGTACTATTTTTTCCTTAACTTTATGCTGTGTATCTTTGAGCTACTTTCATATTAATACATAGCGTCCTTATTCTGTTATTTACAGCTGGGTAGCATTCGTGTGTGTGTGTGTGTGTGTGTGTGTGTGTAATTTTGAAATAAACAAAAATACTGTATTGAGAACTGGCTGAATAAGGGTGAAGCAGAACTTAATATTACTAATTATAACAAAAAATGCATATGTTAGAAAGACTGAAAGCTAAAGACAGCATCTTAAGAAGTTTGGTTGAGAAGAACAAAACAAATGTAAAGAAATTAGAGAAGAAACTATTAAAAGTAGAGCTTAATTGCAGAGAATAGAAAACAAATGTGTCATGAGATCAAAAATAAAATGTTGCTTGAAAAAGTTGGATATGAATATACTTCAGTGAGACAAGAAAAAAGAGCAAATAATTATGTGAAGAATGAATAAGATTACATCATGACAGCCTACAAATATTGGAAAATTATTAAGAAAAACTTTTTCAAATTTTGAAAGTTAGATTAAATAAATTTCTTTTAAAATATGACATCAAAATATACAATTAAAAAAAAAGGAAAGGAAAGGTTCTGGAGCCATTAAACTGAATTGAAAACCTTTCCACTGAAAACTTTGCTTGCATCAGTGAGTTAAATAACACACTTAAAATGGTGTCATTTTTTATAAACTCCAAATAATATTGTACATTCTGCAATTCAGAAAACTCATATTTTTTTTTTTTTTTTATAATTTGATGTGCTGGGGATCAAAGCCAAGGACTGATGCATAGTAGGCAAGTGCTATGCCACAGAGCCACATCCCTAACCCAAAGTTGTCATAATCTGATGACCAGAAAGGACAGTATGGGAAGGAAAAATTTTATGCCAATGTGACTTAAGATGCAATGATTTAAATAAAATGTTAGCATACTGAATCCAGAAACATACCAAATTTATTATGTTGACTTAGCATGTGTGTATATATAGGTGGTGTGTGTGTGTGTGTGTACATACTATGAATTAAATATGTGATCAGTTGTGGTTCTGTTCATTTAATATCATGATAAACTAATGCTATTTGCCACATTAACATTTGAAAATCATAATGATCTTGGACGCAGCAAAAGAACTTGATTAAAAATTCAACTTCCATGTGGGCTGGGGTTGTAGCTCATTGTTAGAGCACTTGTCTAGCATGTCCAAAGCATTGGGTTGATTTTCAGCCCTGCATATAAATAAAATAAAGGTTTATTGACAAAAAAATATTTTTAAAAAAGTTCAACTTCCATTCATGTTGAAAACAATAGGAAATATAGAAAATGTAACTTAAAGGATAATTTTACAAAATGTATCAGTATACATCATAATGAAACATTGGGATCAAATTAAGAATTTATCATTTGTATTGCCATAATAACCACAAAACAAGATATATACATAACATATATATTTATATGTGTGTGTGTGTGTGTATATATATATATATATATATATATATATATATATATTTTTTTTTTTTTTTCCACACAGAAAGCATTTATTCCACACATCTGTGGCTAGCTAGTCAGGTCTGATCATCTTAGCTGGATTCAGGGCCATAGGTTTATGAACTGTTTTGGTCAGCTCCATGTGACAATTCTTCTGGGGCCAGTGGAGACCCTTCTCTTTTTTGTGGTGATGGCAGACGCACAAGAACAAGCCCAATTGCTCAAACATTTCAGTCTTTCACTCACATGTCTGCTAATATTCCATTGGTCGTGACAAATCCTGTGGCCAAGTCCAATGTCAAGGGATCAGAGAAAAACAACTGGGAAAGTAAGAGGAATCAACACGCCATATAAATCCAAATTGTTACAGCATTGTACTGGGGATCCTAGCTAGTACAGTAAGACAAATGGGTGGCAAGAAACATAATTCAAAAGAATTGATATATAAATTAAAAGTTTGGCAAATCACTAGCTATCAATATAAAAATAGATTATAGATAATAATGAACTCTTTCAAAAAAGCTAGAAGAAAGAATTTTGAGTAGTCTCACAAGAAATGATAAATTTTTGAGGAAATAGAGATAGTTTGGATTTGAACACTATGTAATGTATACATGAATTGAGACATTCCATGGTATCCCATAAATATGTACAATTTTGTGCCAATTGAGAAAAGCTATGCACTATTTCTAATATCCTTAAAACTGAGAATAATATATTGAATACCCAAATAGACCTACAGAGTAGAGCTCAGAACTGTCCTATAAATAAAAGGATACTATTTCAAAAAATCAACTACATTTTTATATATCAGCAAAATTAAACTAGAAAATAAAGTCACGAAAGTTTTTATTTGCAATTTTAAAGTACCTAGTACGAGGAATAAATATAACACAAGAAAACTCATATCCCTAAGGATAAGACTATAATACTAATGAAAACAATTTTAAAAGCCTATAGTCATACATACCATATTAAAGGATTAAAAAGCTATTCTTTATATTGGTCTAGTAGATTTAATGCATACTGTAGATTCAAGGCATTTATTTTTTTCATTCATGGTGTGTACCTAGAGGGGCAATATCTGCATTAAACTGCTTCATAGGTCTCCAGCATCCCCTTAGATCAGCGGCTACCCAGGGCATTTTACACTCAAGGCAGATTATTGGAGTGCCTGTGGGCAAGCCAACTATACAAATACATTTAAATGTTCTGTTTACATCATGCATGTTTATACCAGTGGCTAAAGTAATTGACACAGCCACACTGAATGTAGTGAGGAGGTATAGGCCATTTCCAGGTGAAGGGAGGAGTGAATATTTGTTGAACAATGATCCAGTCTATCACATGTAGTAAAGAAACTTGACCCTGGTAGCTACCCTATAGAAGTTGGTGATTGTGTACCCCAGCATATATGTATATATGTATGTATATAGACTAAATAACCCCTTCCCCAAGTGACCAAGTTGTACGTACCACAACCTATGAGAATGTGACATTGCATGGTAATAGTGATCTAGTAAATGTTGTTAAATCAAGGACTTAAGAATGGGAGATGATCTGATTATCCAGATGCACCCCAAGGTAATCACAACTGTCCATAGAAGAGGGAGACTGATGGGAATTTGACTAAGGAGAGGGTGATACAATAAAGCAGAGATAGTGGATTTGTGGTCATAAGCCAAGGAGTGGCTCAAGAAGCTGAAGACCAGAGTCCTCTAGAACCCGCAGCAGAACACAACCCTGCCCAAGCACTTTAGATACTCAACGACAGAGCCGTACAATAATAAATTCATGTTGTTTCAAGTCACCTAGTTTGTGATGATTTCTTACAGCAAAAACAGGAAACTAATACATCATAAGAATTAATACCAGCACTATAATAATAGAAACAAATGTTCACCAAATAGGATAAATTCTTGAACAGTCATACAACAGAACATGGTACAGCACTGGTCATGTACAAACTACAGTTATATCAAACAGCATGGATGAATCTTAAAATATATTGGTCAAAATGTGCTACAAATAAAAACATACTAGATGAATCTTTTTAAATAAGGTTCAAAAATAAAGTAGCTGCTTTGCTACTTTAAATACTTAATGGTGAATCTATAGTTTTAAGGAAAAAATCATTTACTGTGAATGTGAAATTAGGATGGTTCTGAGTGGTGCTTGTGGAAGTGGAGGCCAACCTGGGGTGCTTGCAATTTTGCTTCTTAAGCTTTGCGGTGGCTACTTGTTTATTCACTTGGTAATAAGACGTTAAAATATTCATAGGATTTATGCACTTTTATATTCATAATTCTATGTGTTATAGTCTACAATAAAATAAAATCCCATTTTAAAAAGAGATCTTAAAAAAGAAGGCAAATGTGATTTTTTTTCTTTTTTTAAATTTGTGCGGTACTTAGGATTGAACCCAGGGCCTCTAACTATTGCCATTTACTTTGCATGAAAAGAAAAATCACTGCATAGTGATTCTCAAGGCCCCTCTAGGGGCTCTTCCCCAAGTTGTATTCCCTACCAGATGAGATTACTGAGGCTGCTTATTATGGGATGAGGGGGTCACTCAGAAAATGGCCATATACCACTGACTGGATACCACATCTATTCCCCTCTAGTTCCTCTGTGTAGGGCAGTGCCCAAGCCGGTTCTATTCACCACTACATACAATGTCAGACTCTCACGTATGTCTGCTGACTTTTCTGCATACCAGGAATTTGCCAAACTAAGTTTGTGATTTGTCTTGGTTTGGATTCCTTCAGAATCAGACCTTGAGTAAAGGATTTGCAATTCATCTGGGAGGCGACTCCAGGAAACACTGATAAGGGAGTGGGGAACTGAGAGAGGGAATTGAAGTCAGCCCACACAGCGACTTTGTATCAAGCAAAATGCCACTGGCCTTTGATCATTTGATGGCTCAGCTGTATTTCACCTGGGGGTGGGGGCGGGTCCAGAGAACTGAGATACTGATACACCATCTCAAGCAAGTCACTGGTCCAGGCTGTGTCTAAGGGTATTACTTCCCAGTCATCTAGTGTGCCCGGAGCGGATGGGCAAAGCTGGGAGAAGATCCTAAAAACAGGAGGGGCTGACATGGCAACCAGAAGTCAGGCCAGCATGCACCAACTTGTTAAGAGGAATCCTGTATGTAGGGAGCCTGCCAGCGTCTGCCACAAGACGCTCTCACCTGTAACATATGGGGAAGGAAAGTGCTATGGTTTGAGTGTGGTTTGTCCCTGAGATGATCCTGTGCTCCAGGGTTGGTCCCCAGTGTGCAGTATTGAGGTGGAGGAGCCTTTAAGAGAAGGTTCCTGGTAGAAGGTAATTAGGTCCAGAGGGGCTCCTGGTTTGTGGGTTGAGTCTCTGAGGAGTGAGTTCCCTTGAGAATGGATTGTTATAAAATGAGCAAGCCTGGCCTCTCCCCAGACTCTGCCTCCTGTCTCACCATACGTTCTCTTCAGCATGCACTCCCTCTATTGCGATTCCATAGGCCATGAGGCTCTCAGCAGAACTGAGTAGATGTTCCAGATAAACATCTTTTCTCTTTAAAGTACCCAGTTTCAGTATTTTGTAATAGCAACACTAACTGGTCAGACACAGTTAAGTGTGAAGTCTTAAGTGTGAGGAAAGCTGTGATCATAAATGTAATGTAAGGTTGATTAAAACAGAAACAGAATAATGCTTGGATGTCTATAGGCTCCCGGGTCCTCCTGGCAGTCCTTGTTTGGGGTTTAAAACAAGGTTGGCCTTGTCTTATACTTCTGTTCATCTCTGGTCTCTGCTTTCCTTGTCTCTTCTGCACTCATTTTTAAGCATAAAAAGCTCACTTACACATATGGATAATAAGTTTGGCTTTTCTGGAAAGATCCCATGAAGTTTTACTTTCCTCATAGGAATCGTGGATGCTTCCTCTGTCTGCCCAAATGGACATTCCAACTCTAAAATTCTCTGACTCCATGTTGGATACCATGACTCTAACACCAACAACGCCTCACATTAGAAGTGGTTATAGCTGCCATAAAGCATGGACTTGAAAAATCTATATTAACCACATTCCGTCAGTTTTTGCCAGTTGATTCTAAATACCTTCACTTGCTGTTGGATAATGTTGTGTTCGAGGTGAACCCTCCTCTTATATCCAGGTGCAGATCCCCAAAGACCAACTTCAAAAGATATTAGCAATACTTTATTGACTATATTAACTGACAACTGTGGTTAATAAATGAAACAGTAAAATTTTCTGTGATAACTTCATCTTTAAGTATTTATAAATGTAAAATGTACTTATTTTTTCCTTTTCCACCAGTTGACACTATAGTTAAGACATGTTAAGCTTCTTTATATTTGCTCATAGAACTCTATCCCCCATTCCTTTCTTATTTTTTTTAAAAGAAAGTCCCAAACTGTCTACCAGAATTTCTTTGATTTTTTAGAGTGAACTAAGACCAATAGGGTCGTTTGGGAGTTGTTTTTATTAGGGATCCAATCAGCAATTCCCTCTGATGTGCTACATGCTTTTCTGGAAGCTGATCATGTGGCGCAGTCCACTGTCTGCCTGGACTTCATCAATTCTCGTTTCAGCTGTTCAAAGCTCACGAACATAATGAGGTTCCAGGATGCCAGTCGCAGGAAGGAAGGTAGAAATCTAGAAAAGTGCATGTCACCATTCTATTAGCTTGTTTGAAATTCTTAAAGCTTTTATGGTATAGATGGTTAATGCCTCTCATTAGGGTTAGGGGTGGGGTACTGGGGATTGAACTCAGCTACATCCCCAGCTGCTCAGGGCCTTGCTAAGTTGTTGAGGCTGGCCTCAAACTTCTGATTCTCCAACTTCAGCCTCCTGGGCCACTGAGATTACAGGCGTGTGCCACCACTACCAGTTTCCTGCTTGTTTTTACAAGGTTTGAGACTTTTACTATCAATAGAATAAACCTTTCTGAAAATATTCAGAAATTAAATTCATACTATATTTTCTTAGGAAAGTGATTTATGACATGATATGATTCATATGATATGATGTAGTTTTATGGAAAAACGACCTGTTACTCAATACTAGTTTCTAGATAAGTTAAGCCACATCATTTTCTGCATCACTTTTCTAGATGGGTGGTGATGACTTTTCTCTAGTTTTGCTTTAATAAAATTGTCAAAGTTAAATCTATCAAATTAAAATAATGAAAACCAAATCTTATTTTCTCATGGCCCTCTATTATTCTTTCTTCTAGTTTATAGTTCTCCTGCTCCAAGAACGGTTTAATGATTAGAATATGGTCTTACACACTTTCCAATAGACTGAAACCAATAAGAAGGATATTGATTTTGAATAAGCCTCTAAGCAAAGCTGAGAACTTATTACCATTACAGCTGTTTCTTTTCTGGGACAGTGGAATTGGTGGGTTGGAGAAACCCTGAGGCAAGGAAAAGTCGATACTGAGTCCACTGCGCATGCTAAGGCTGGAAAGCCAGGTTCCAGCTGTTCAGGTGAGACCCAGCCCAAGGCACCAGGCACCCTGCACACCACGCACATGCAGAAGAGCACCACCTACCCTTTGAAAAATGCCGACGGCCCTTCCTGGTGGAGCATTGCCATTGCACATCTGGGCACGCTGGTATACTGCCCTGGCGGAGAGTTAATAAATCTGGTCTTCACTACATCAGCAGGCGAGGACAGGAGTGTGGTGCAAAATCCAGCGACGAAAGCGGACAGCAGGTGGCAGGGGACATCATCTAGAATGTGTCAATGGGACAGGTCAGCACCAGACTCATTGTAACCCTACTGGTCACAGGCGATCAACGTGGATGTCTTATAATTAATCACAAGGTCATGGTGGCAGCTAGGCAGGTGGTCAATAGTACCTGGCGAAATGGATTGTAAACACTTGAGAATAACTGTTTTCCCTGTGGCCTTGGGGCCCAGCATAATGCCTGGTACAAGGGCATCTGACACTTTTTAACTGAATGAAAGTCATTGTCAAAAGAGACTTTCAGTGTCTCTAGAAACAATGTTACTTTGAGGAACTATCCTATGGAAGATGGAATCACTGATGGACTCCTTATATAACTAGCTTTTTGGGCTACAGTGCAGGAGGGACTTACCTCCAGAATTCTGCTATAGAAGGAATATGATTCTCACAAAAGTTCATATATTAGTCTTAAATGAGAATAATGTTGATATGAAGGGCAGTTGAATTTTGGTTTTGCAGCAGCAAAAGTACAACAAAAATTTGTTGCAAAGAATTTTATTGCAGCAAAGCTATAGCTCTTTTTCTGCTTCTCAAAACATTATATTTAATGTTCAAAATTGCTTAAGTTCTAAAATGGGAAGACTATTAGGAATAAGGAATTCAGCTGGGCACAGTGGCACACGACTGTAATCCTAGAGACTCAGGAGGCTGAGACAGGAGAATCTCAAGTTTGAGGCCAGTCTCAGCAACATTAGTAAAGCCTTAGGAAACAAAATGAAAAAATAAAAAGGGGCTGAGGGTGTAGCTCAGTGGTTAAGTGCCCCTGGGTTCAATCCCCAGTACAAAGAGAGAGAGAGAGAGAGAGAGAGAGAGAGAGAGAGAGAGAGAGAAAGAGATTCAGTAGAACATGGCTATAAAAACTCCAAGATGAAATAATAGAGGTGCCAATGTGTGTGTTGTCTGAAATAGGAAGCTACCTGCTAGGATTTTGTTTCTCACAAGAGCCCCCTTCATCAGGTCATATGTTACCAACTCTGTGCAATTGATGATGACGTTTCTCAACAGATTAGGAGTAGTCCCTGGAGGAAAAAAACCAAAAGACAAAGTTTAATAAACTCTTGGATAAATGTGTTTTAATGGTTAGAAAATGCGCCTAGAAGTTAGTTACCTTTCCAAAGACTCCTGAAGCTCTCTGTTGTTACTATAATTCTGTACGCGTTGTAGGTCCCGGTGTAGCGAGGTTTGAGACCATGTAGGTGGCTCTGTGCTTGGAGCCTGACCTTCACCACCTCGGTGGGCTGCCCAATGAACACTGCCACTCCTCCAGTTGTGAGTCCGGCTGAGATTTTGCTTCCCAAACTGGGTGCTGCCGTCCAGAGAGAAAAAATGATTTTTCAAGACACCAAATTCAAAACCCCAAATGCATTCCTATTTCTCTTAAATGTTTAGTGGTTAGTGTTTTCATATTTTTACGTCTTCTCTATTTTCCCAATTGTGTGTTCATGTGTTGACCATGTACTGACAAAGGACCAAATCATAGTTGGGCTAGGAAAATTCAGTTGCCTAAAAGTTTTTTTAAAAAATAAAGACGTTCAAGGAAAAAGTTAAAATGTCTAAATGGACAGTGGTTTCGTTCTTTCTAGCATTCAGCATAGTTCCTCCTGTGTTTTGCTGTCTTTTTCAGTATTTCCCAACTATGAGGAGGCACCGGTCACCTGTGATGCTTGTCTTCCTCCTTTCAAAGACGATGTTAATCACTGGACTCTGTGGTCTTAGGAGAAGCCCAGTAGACAAGTTGCCTTAACTTGTAGTAGTAGGCTACACCATAGAAAGAGGATGAAAGTAAGAAGAAAGAAGTCGAGAAGGTGATATTTGTCTTGAAATGTTGGAAAATTAGCTAATGTCACTCAATGTCACTCAAGATAGATCTCATTTAGCGGGGCCCGATGATGCTTTCCTGTAATCTCAGCTATTCAGTAGGCTGAGGCAGGAAGATCACAAGTTCAAGGCCAGCCTGGGCAACTTAGGGAGACCCTGTGTCAAAATAAAAAAGCTGGGGTGTAAGTCAGTGGTAGAACTCCTCTGGGTTCAACCCCCAATACCACCGCAAACAAAACAAAACAAGACAGGTATCACTTAATATAACTACAAAGAGTCTTGAAGCCTAATACAACTTAATACAACTTAATACAACTACAAAGAGTCTTGAAGTCATGAAATATAAAGTTATGGTCCAATAACATTTACTCATCAAGGACTCTCAATCTTCCTAATTCCGTTTCCTAGTCTGTGAACAGGAATAATAATCTAATATTATTTATATATAATATTAATATCATATATAATATTAATATCATATAAAATTATTATAATATAAATATCATATGGAGAAAATGTTTATATTATATATGAAATATTATATATAAATAATATTAATATTATATAAATAATATTATATTATCCCTAATATTATTTATATATAATATTAATATTATACATAATTATACAAATATTATATTTAATTATATACATAATTATAAATTATAATAACATCATAGTATTCTTAAATAATATATTATTTATGAAGTCAATAATAATATTGACTTCATAAAATCATGGTGTGAATTAAAATAATATAGACAAAGCCCTCAACACACTGGATAGTACAGAGGAAATACACAAAACTGGAAGCAAATTTTCCTCTCTATTCTGGTTGCACATTTGCTTGGCCAAGAGCTGAGCCTACACTTGTTGATGTCATGGTGAAGGCTGCCTTCACTTAGGCCCGTGTCTATGATCTCACTCAGGTTCACTTACCCTACCTGCCAGTCTCCCTCCCTCCTGTCCTTCTTCACCACAGGTAGGCCCCTTGAGAGAGGCCGAGTTTGCCGCCTCTTTTCCTCCTCAGTCCTCCGCTCCTCCACAGTCCTTCCACCCCTTTACTCTGATGAATGTGTTTTTGCCATTCTGCTTCCTGGAATCTCACGTAGATCTGTCTCCTAAGCTCACGTGCCTACTGGACATCACCTCTGGGTGAGTCCTAAACTGAATCTATCTTCCCCCCATGAGATAGCTTCTATATTCCCTCCTGAAGAAGTGGTGTCTTTAGCCAGAAACTCAGAACTCACCTTACATTCCTACCTCTCCCTTAATCCTTACTTCTAGTCCTTCACCAAGTTCAGTCAATTGCACTTCCTAAATCTTTCTGATTGACATCTCTTTCCCTATTGCCAACGCTTTGGGACATCACTTGATTATTTCTTACTTTCTGACTTACCCCTTTCTTATCCTTTCTTTATATATACTCTATGAGATGTGTTTATGCCATCTCCCTGCTTAATATTTTTCAATAATTTTTCACCACTGTCAGCACAAAGTCCAAACTCCTTAGCATTAGCCTGGCCTGTGATCTGCTCCTTCCTGCTTTTCTCCCTTCTGGACAACATGCCCTCCCCCTCTGCTCTGTAAGTTCTCTCCATCCTGTCTGAATCTTTGTACATTAACTTCACTCAGCTTGAAAGGTCTTTTCTTACCACTTTGCCTGGATTACTCCTACTGATCCTTCAACTCAATTCAGACATTAGCTTTAGGAAAATCTGGTATGACCACGCCCCTGAAGCTAGTTGTGTTTCCCTTCACTGTGACATAGCACATGCCATGATATATAGTTATCTATTGGCTCCTCCTCCCCACAAGTCCCCTACTCTGAACCATGAACATCTGTACATCTATCACAGTTTCTGGCATGTTGGCAGTTCAACAAAGATTACCAAAGGAACCAAATAGTTGCACCATAGAACCAAAATATATCTCATTCATTTGGTGCCTAAAGTACTCAGTGACGGATTAGAAGAGTCATTCTTTGAAGAAAACCACCTGAACGGACAGCTTTACATCTTTTGTGTTTCATGCTCATCTTTACCTTGGACAATTCAGTGTCGATCTAGAAACATACAGACTTTATTTTCACGTTGAGAGTACTTGTGTGGATAAGTTTAAGTTATATTTGTACAGATACATAATAATTTAAAATTATCCCATATACTTACAGTATTCAAAAGTTACTCAAGACAAATGATGACATCAAGCCAAGGAGTAAGTTCATTGGTTCCTTGTTAGCACATCTCCCTGGCTTGTCTACTTCACATGACAGCATCTCTACTATGTACTGTGTGCTTTTGTGTCAATTGACTCCTTGGATACACAGATAATACCTTCTACTCATGGCATTGCTGTCCGGATTGAAGGATGTAGAGGATCATATGCCAGGTGCAGAGGGCAGCAGGTGTAGTGGTTAAAAGCTGGGGTCAGAGAACAGACTGCCTGGGTTTGAACTCTGGCTCTGCCCCTTTCCTGGTATGTGAACTTGGGCACGTTATGAAATTGCTCAATTTCCCCATTTGCCAAGGGATCATAATATCAGTATCTTTTTAGTTGTGATGTATCTCAACTAAAAGCCCAGGATACTGGAAGGACTTAAATACTTCCTGGCTAAACGGATAGGAGCTCAGACTACACTGGCACTCAGAAATCATCTGATTCCTTGCCTTCCCCTGAACAAACCCAGATACATAGATAATACCTTCTATTATCTGGCCCTCCCTAGCGGTAGAAGACTCCTAGGACCTTCTGGACAAGGAGATGAGTTTTTCCTGTCCTGTGACTCTCTTCTCAAGTTCTAGCTGCCTTTTCTTCACAAATCTCATGTTAGATATCCAAATTACCAGGAAAGCTTGTACAAGAAAGTACAGATTCCTGAGAATTCAGATTCAGAGGGCCATGGTAGATTTCATTTGGATTTTCAACAAGTTCCAGAGGTGTTTCTGATATACTTTGTTGTTTAGCGAACTTTGCAGCCCATTCGTATTCTCCAGAGGGAGACCTAAATTAGACCCCAAACTTGCATCAAGGTCTGGGTGATTTTTATAAGTAAATTTGCATCTGAAAAAAAAATGATTTGCAGACTTGTTTTTCTTTCTATGAACCTGGGGAAAGGACAAGAATTCAAATATTGATATTTTGTGGCCAAATTGTTAGGGAGACCACTACCCTGTTTGTTGGTTTAGTGGTGCTGGGATAGAGGCAGGGCCTCCCATAAGCTAGGCCAGTGGCTCTACTACTGAGTTCCACCACAGCCTCCAGGGTCACGTTTTCAAAGAGCCCAGCCCCCCAGGAGCCCCAGTAAGGCTGTTTGCTTACTTTCATTCCCTGAGGTGAAGTACTCCTGGACAGAATCATAGAGGCCGATCCTAAGAGAGGCGAAGCTTATTTGCCTTTGCAATCCCGCAGGCAACCCGCTGTACAGTTTCATGGGCCCTTCGGTTTTTGCTAGGGTGGTGATTGTTCCCAGGACACCTTTATACGTAATACCGCTGGAGACTGGGAATTCGCCTTGGATCTGGAAATGAGAAAGGTACAGGTTAGGGTTAGTACTTTGGTGCTTAGAACTCTTAGGGCCCCCAACTTTTGGGGAGGGTTTGGCAGTAGTTATGGTCAACCCATCATCCTTGACCTTGGTTCAACTAGTCCCTGGAAAAGTTTCAGTTTCCCATCCCAAAGCATCCAATCTCAGACAGCCAAGCCGCTCTCCAAGGCTGCCACCATCCTTCGCTTATTGAAAGGATGGTTGAGCCCAAACATTGCATCAAAGGGACACACACCATAGCGGGTGGTCCTCTCTCTTCCCCGAGACCCCCAGCCATCCGCCTCTGGCTCGCTACCTGTAGCCGGACTTTGGCGGTGTCCAGCGGGAAGGTGATCACATCCGCCAAGCAGGCTGACACTCCGGCTGAGACGATCTTGATGGCCATGGTCGGGTGCACGTCGGAGGCTGTGGGGCTCACCATCCTCCCTCAGAAAGCGGGGCCAGGCGCCTGGCAAGAGTGAAAGGCTCCAACCTCCAAGTTGGAAGTTCTTTTCCCTCCCGGCCTGGGCAGCGAGCCCACTCTCTGACTTCTGGGACAGCCACCACCAGGGAGGTGGCAGTCCAGAGGTGACGGCTGCAGGCGGAGCACAGTGGTGCAACCGAGCGTCTCCCCCCGACGCTCGCGCCGGGGTGACTCGCTGCGCCCAGGCCGACCCGCGGTGGCGTATATAGCCGGGAAGACCTGGGCGGGGGGACCTGCAGGGGCGTGCTCTGGTGCCAGTACCTCCCACACCTCCTCGCCCAGCGCCTGCCCAGCCTCACTTCAATCACTAAATCCTTGGCCCGGGACCCCACCGTCTGCGCCAAGCTCCGGACGTCACCCGGAAAGCGCGCTAGCGACAGGCAGACACCCCCTTCCTCGCAGTAGGCGCGCGGCACCCTCTGTCACTCTCCTGCTGGGACCCTCGGCTGGGGAGGGGAGCAGGTGGGGGATCCCCCAAACGAGCGCGATCTCAGAGCTCTTGCTAAAAAGGTCCCCGCCAGGCCTCCTAGAAGAGACAAGTGGCCGGCGCTGGCGGCATTCCTCCTACTCCCCGGGCTCCTTGCTGGCACCTGGAAACATTTTCTGCTTCCATTTCTCTCCATTTATTTTCACCATTCTCTTTCCTTCCCGTCACTTTCCCATCACCAAAATCAGACTTGGAAAAAAATCCACGTAAAGACCAAGCTTTCAAAAAAAAAAAAAAAAAAAAAAAAGAATGTTTGATTACTTTTTGTAGGGAAAAGTCCAATGAGACTATAGACGCCCTAGAACGCGGTCAGCAAGTTGCTACAGCTCTGTACAAAATGAGCTATCCCTTGCTCCTTGTAGGTACATTTCTTAGGGGACACAGTGGAAGGGACGCAAGCAATAGGCAGGTGGCTTGGCTCCAGGTACAGCTCTACCACCTTACCAGTTCCGTGACCCTGGGAAAGTCATCTTTACTGCGACTCTTGTTCCCTACTGTATACAATGTGGTTCCAGAGCTGCCCCAGGTCTGAATCCTGCTAACTATAGTGATAACTCAAATACCCTAATGTGTGGTTTTGTGGCAGAAGATTTTCATACCTCTACCATTGTGCAAGGATTTATTTATATTTTGAAAACATCTGAAAATGCCCTTTTAAAAAATGTAAGTGGGAAACCACAGGAAACAGGAGAAAGAAAGAGGGCAGGGAAAAAGATCAGGCCCCCATTTTCAAGACCTCTCAAGATAAGATCCCATGGATATTACCATCATCCATAGTGAGTCCTGGGTCCTGCTGGTACTCAACACTGAATGCAACCCAAAAAGAGTGAGTGGAAGTTGGAGTCATCAGAGGAGAGCAATTAAGACATGAAGCTCCTAAAGAATAATTCTCAAATCCTCTATAAGAAAAGGGGTGTGTTCTCTGCAAGAACCCAGTTTTATTTTTTGTTATTGTTGTTCAGTTTGGTTTGGTTTGGTACCAGGGATATAAAGCCAGGGGTGTTTAACCCCTGAGCCACATCCTCAGTCCTTTTTTATTTTTTATTTTGAGACGGTCTCACTAGGTTTCTGAGGCTGCCTTTGAACTGGCCATCTTCCTGTCTCAGCCTCCTGAGTCACTGGGATCACCCTGTGTGCCACCTTGCCTGGCAAGAACCCAGTTCTAAGGAATTTCCACGGGAGTGCACACTCTGAGGGCTTGCCTGAGGAAGGCCATGTGCACTAATGGGTGGACTCACAATAAATAGGAGGAAGAAGACAGAGAGGTTTCTCCTCTACAAAGACCTGTTGAAATAAAGAGCCACTAAGGCAAAAGATGCATGCGTGAAGATGTATAGCAGGGTATACAGGGAGGAGTGTATTCTGGTGGCCTGATGGACTGGGAAGTCAGTCATGGAGAGAAAGGAGGGGGAAGACCAAAAGTTGGAAAGAGATGAGCCCATAGAAGTCAAATGAGGAGCAGATCCTGAAAATCTATTGTAATTGTGGATTTATATTGTCACCTCATACCTGTGAAATGCTTGTAAAATGCTCTCACATAAATGTCACTTTTCATCTAATAGACAATACCGTTTTATGAAAGTTTAGATGTGGAATCAAAGATTTTTCAAAAGTGAATTGTTTAATGGGCAGCAGGTTCCGTGATGTAGCAAACTAATTGTCATGAGGCAGCTGGGAAGAGAAGGTGATCTTCATTTTTTTTTTTTTTGAGTTGTAGTTGGGCACAATACCTTTGTTTTAATTATTTATTTTTTTATGTGTTGCTGAGGATGGAACCCAGGGCCTCATACATGCTAGGCGAGTGTTTTATCGCTGAGCCACAGTCCCAGCCCAGGGTAGGTGATTTTAGAGGCAAGGAGATGAGAACAACATTTAAAATCTTGAATTTATTTGGAAAGAATGGCGTTGTTACATGTGTAGCAGCTACTACAGGAAGTTGCCTATAATTTGCTAAGAGAGTGAGAACTTGAAGTTGGGGAGGTACTTGGGAGTTAGTGACATGGACGTGTTGAAAGGGGTGCACTTGCATGGGACTATAGGAAAAGGGGACAGGGGCCACACCATAGAGGAACCCAGAGTTCTCTGAGAAGAATGGCCTCCCAACGGCAGAGTTAGGATAAGAAACAGTATCTTGCCCAGTCCTGGAATCTGGATCTGAGATATACAATTAAAGAAAGGTTGAGTCTTGACCAGTGTCAAGTTTGGGATAAGTGTCAAAGGAACAAAACAAAGAAAATTCTATTGGATTTGGTTCTAACATTTTTTTGTGACCTTAAGGGACCCATTGTCATGGAGTTAAGGCAAGCAGAGATTGGGTGTATCCAACATACTCTAACTAAATGTATGAGGGGCATTACTCCTTAGTCACTCTAGGGACCCTCAAAATAAACTAGTTAGTCTCCAACTCTCACCTGTACGCTACTCCTGAATCTTTCTTGGTGGTTTTATATGGAATGGCCTTTAAAAATATAATTGCAAATTCACAACATTCTTCTTATAAAAAAAAATGAGGGTCCATGTCCCTTCTCCTTGCCTCTGGCAGGTTTATGAGTCCTTTGACCAATGGAATAAGACAACACCAAAGCTGTGTGGTTTCCAAGGCTGGGTCATAAAAGTCTTTGCAACTTCTGCTTTATTCAGTGGAACACTTGCTGTCAGAGCCCTAGGTCACTATGTATGAAATCAAACTTCCCACCAGGCATATGGTATACTCCTATAATCCCAGCTGTTAGGGAGCCTGTTTGCAAGTTTGAGATCAGCCTGGGTAACTTAGCAAGGCCCCGTCTCAAAATAAAAAATAAAAAGAGCTGGAAATGTAGCTCGACGGTAGAGCATTCCAGGTTCAATTCCCAGTACAACGTGGGGATGGGAATTAAACTTTTTTGAGGTCATCTTGCTGAAGAGGCCCTGTAGGCATTTCTGAACCTTCCAACCAAGGCACCAGACATTTAAGAGCAGGTATCTTGAACCCCACCAGATAAGCCGATCTGCAGGCTCATTACCACTAGGTCATCTCTGTCAACACCAGCAGAACAGAAGAATCACCCAGTCAAACCCTGCCCAAGTTCATGAATACATGAGATGAAATCAAATGGTGTTGTCTTAAGGTAGGACAGGGTGAGCAGAACAGCAACTTCATTTATCTGGGGAGCTGGGATGGGCATAAGCTCTCTCTGCCCCTTCAACCCTACCATCATGATGAGGAACTGGATGATATGGTAGGTGTCGAGTCTTTAGGGTCACCGGCCTTCTGTGACACTGCAAAGGAATCTTTTTTTTTTAATTGGTTGTTCAAAACATTACAAAGCTCATGATATATCATCTTTCATACATTTGACTCAAGTGGGTTATGAACTCCCAATTTTACCCCAAATACAAATTGCAGAATCACATCGGTTACACACTCACATTTTTACATAATGGCATATTAGTGACTGTTGTATTCTTCTGCCTTTCCTATCCCCTACTATAACCCCCTCCCCTCTCCTCCCATCTTCCCTCTCTACCTCATCTGCTGTTGTTCAATTCTCTCCCTTGTTTCCCCCGGCCCTTTCCCCTCACAACCTCTTATATGTAATTTTGTGTAACATTGAGGGTCTCCTACCATTTCCATATGCTTTCCCTTCTCTCTCCTTAAATGAAGTCCCAATACAATTGTAAGGAAGAAACAGAGTGCACCAAAAGTTGTTTTGTTTTGCATAAAACATGTGCTGGTCTATTTTAAAGGCAAAGTATGATAAACTAAAGGAGAAGGAGAGAGGATGACTACTAAAAGGGGTGTATGTCAGAGACACAGTTAAAAATATTAAAAAATAGATCATGATACAGATCACATGAAGACAGGTTGGGAGAGAGGACCCGAGACAGGATGAAGAGGTTAATTTGCTTGAAAATGTAAAGAAGACGACTGCATGACCTTCTGGGTTATTAATACCGGGCTAGACACGATCGACTGGGACTTCTCCAGGAGACAGCATCAGTGGAGCTCCATGGTGACTGGGGACCTGGGATGTGCCAGGTACGATGCTGGCTATGAAGGATCAAGGAGAAGCAGAACTGACAATCTAGGCAAGGAGACCCTGCCAGGTCACAGAAGTTCAAGACAAAGGACGGTTGTGGATTCCCAGGAGCAGGCTGACCTCACAGCCTCTGGGAGGCGCAGGGAAGTAGGAGAAAGTTTGTCTCAGGTTGGAGAGAATAGTAGGGGAGAGGGTGGCATCCTAAAGGGTCAGATTTCTGCTGTTCTGGCACAAGAAGTGGAGAGGTAAAGAAGTGCAGTGTGAGCAAGGGTCACCGGCCTTCTGTGACGCTGCAAAGGAGTGGCAGCAAATTCCGAATGGACTCGATTCCCAGTCCTTCTTTTAAAATTTGGAACATGAACAAGTGCATTTGCTCAAACTGTGGTCGGTCAATCAGGAGCCACTGGACAAAATGTGTTCATCTTAAATCCAAAAGCAAAACAAGCCATTGTTTTGGTTGATTTTATATTTTTAAAAACATGACAGCGGAATGTATTACAATTCTTATTACACATATAGAGCACGATTTTTCATATCTTTGTATATAAAGTATGTTCACTCCAATTCATGTCTTCATACCTGTTTTGGTGTTTTTTTAACATTACAATTCTTATTACACATATATACCACAATTTTTCATATCTCTGTTTGTATATAAAGTATGTTGACACCCAATCGTGTCTTCATACAGGTACTTTGGATAATGATGACCATCACATCCAACATCTTGCTAATCCCCTGCCCCCTCCCTTTCCCTCCCACCCCTCTGCCCTATCTAGAGTTTGTCTCTTCCTCCCATACTCCCCTTCCCTACCCCACTATGAATCAGCCTCTTTATATCAGAGAAAACATTTGGTATTTGGTTTGGGGGGGATTGGCTAACTTCACTTAGCATTATATTCTCCAACGCCATCCATTTACCTGCAAATGCCGTGATTTTATTCTCTTTTATTGCTAAGTCAAATTCCATTGTGTATATATGCCACATTTTTTTTTATCCATTCATCAACTGAAGGACATCTAGACAAAACAAGCCTTTGCATCTGAACTGTGTTCAATGCTCTCCTCAGCCAAAGGTAGGTTGTATCATAGTGTAGTTATACAGATGAATGATCAAATGGCAGAAGGAACGATTTATAAAGGAGGAAAAACAAACTTAAAAAACACATGCAAAAGATAAATTTGATACAACTAACAAAAAAATGTGCATCTTTCATCTAGTAAATTAATACCTTGTCCTTATCAATATAATAACTATTGTAACATTTATACATAGTATAAATTTTGAGTTAATATTACAAATATAATTAAATAACTTGTGAATGTTATAATTAAAAATTATGAATGTTAAACAGATAATAAGTATAACATCAATGCTGTATTAATGGTGGCTTTATAAATGACACAATTCTTTTGAAACCCATTGGTAGTGTGCATTGAGTTAAGAAAACATCTAAGTTCTTTGATTCAGTAATACAGCTTCTGAATTTCTACCCTAAAATAATTCACCCAAATATAAAATCAGTGTATACAGAATGATGCATATCACAGTTTAACATTTTTACACTGTAATGTGCATCATTCTGTATACACTTGGAATCTCTATGTGCATATCTGGGATTGTCTGAAAAGCTGTGCATTATTGATGGCCCATAAGTGTCCTCTGTTTGGAATTGATGTGAAACTGGGAAAGGAGACTGCTCTTAGTGATAGAGAAAGAGTAGGGAGAAGACAGGATTGGGTTTTCCTGATCTAGCTCATCCCAGAGACAGGAGGACTCCTGAACTGTGATAAGGAGAAAATATTCCATTTCTGTTCTGGTTAAGGTGGCAGATGGCCTACTATTTGAGAGAATAAAGGTCCTATGTTCAAATTCTGAGATACTGACTAGATAAGAATGATCAAATTACTTTATTCCACTGAATTTCAAATTGTTTGCTGTTTTGATGCAACAGCAAACAATATTCCTGCACCATTAGGTTGTTCTCATTAAGTCACTCTTTGAGGAAAGCACCTGATATACTGATACACATGGGGTACATAACCCTCATAAAAACATGGAGTATTATTTCATAAACTTAACACTTCTGTAACATCACCCACGTGACTCACACTGTTCTAAGGACTGTACAGAATTTAACACACTTAGTTCTCATTGCAGCCTCGAGTTACATACTCTTGTCATCCCCACTTTACAGGAAACTCAGAGGCTCAGAGAGGGTGGGTGATTTCTCCTAGGTCACATAACCAGGAAATGGCACAGAGGGTCTACAGACCTCTAGATGTCAGCTCCTATGTGATATCCAATGTGTGTGGCCTGATACTTTCCTATGATGTGAAGGTATATAAGGACTAACTACCCTACTAATTATTTAGGTAAGACAAATCAAAAGTTTTTAAAGAATCACATGGAACATGTATTTTTTACTTGGTTTGTTGATATTATTAGGGGACTTTCAAAGACATCCATAAACATAATGCCACTTGTAGCTTAAACAGAACTTTTTTCATCTTTGGTAGCACCTGGTGGAAGAGATTTAGAGAAATGAGATTCAGTGCTGGCTTCGACAGCACATATATTCAGATTGGAACAATACAGAGAAAATTAGCATGGCCTTGTTCAAGGATGACACATGAATTCATGAAGCAGTCTGTATTTTTATTTTTACCACAACCCATAATTCCTCTAGCTTGCTAATGGTGCTTCGTGCCTTAACTCCCACAAACACTGTATAACCTTGGTAATGACCCTAAGGGCTGAGGAAGTTCCTGGAACTTGATATAATAGTTAAATTCCTACTTTAGAAATGCTTAACTTTCATAAAATAGCAACACTAAGAAAATCTTTCAGTTATGCTGTGTATTATAACTTAGAGGCAGTTCCTGGGTTCGTTTGCAAGTTAATATGAGGGCGTGCACAAGCTGTAGTCAATAACTTAGGAAGCTGCATTTGTTAACTGAACGAGGCAAGTATAGATCTTTATGTAAATCAGTGCTTTATAATACATATGATTGTAATGGCTGTTCAGAACTACAATTAAATTATATGATTGTATTTAGAAAAGACAAATGAGATTTGTAAAAATGGAGACCAGTGAGGGGACCAGAGAATGAAAAAGAAAAAAAATGACTCAGAACAGGATATGACAGTCCTGGGACCCTGGCAGGCATGTCCGATGCACAGGCTGGATTTGTTCTGCTCACCATTAAAGAAAAACAGTTCTGCTGAGGTCCCTTCCCACCCAGAGATCCTATGAGCCTATGGTGCTAGAGCCCACTCAGGGTCAGTCATTACCTAGGCAAAGCAGGACAGGCTCCCAGATCTCTTTATGGAGAGCTCCCAGGAACCACATGAAGGTGAAATGGGGACATTCCAGCTTCGAGTCAGCCTTGCGGCTCCTGGTGCTCAGTGGCTGCTCAGTCCCTGTTTGAACAAGGACAGAGTTGCCAGGTTAGAGGTCACAGACCACTCCAGGGCTCTCCTTCCACTGTCCCTCCTTGCTAATCTCCCTGACAAGTGCATACTGTGGAGTGGTGTGAAAGGTGAAGGATTGCAGCCCAAGTGTGAACGTGACAGACACTGGGGGAAGGGGCAGAGATGAACCGAGGTGACGTTGGAAGAGTTCCTTAGGGTGTCTGTGCTTGCTGGCTGACTTCCAGGAGTGCGTGGAAGTTGGGGGACAAGCCAGGAGACCTTCTCTGCTGGGACCCTGCCTCTGTGAAGAAACCCTCGTGTGGCCATGGATTATTCCAGAGTGTCTAGGAAAGACGAGGTTCAGACACCAGGAAAAAGATGGATTTGATTTCCTCTACAGCACAGTGCAGAGGGAATAATGAAGAAACCACTACCTCTCACAGTTTTAACTTGCTGCTTGAGCATGTTAGCTAGAGGGCAGGGGACGGGGAACCTCCTAAAGGGGACCCAGAGTCTCCACATCTGGGCTGCCCAGGGTGCGGTGGTTGAAGGAGGGAAAAACCACTGAGGAAGTGTGTATTCACGCCTCACAGTGTGCCCATACGTGTGTATGCTTAAAATTCCATAAGAGTGGTAGGTGCTATGGTGCACGCCTGTGATCCCAGTGGCTTGGGAGGATTGGGAATTCAAAGCCAACCTTAGCAATTTATCGAGGCCCTGTCTCTAAATAAAAAAATTAAAATGGCTGGGGATGTGGCTCAGTGGTTAAGTGCCCCTGGGTTCATTCCCTGGTAGAAAAAAAAAATCTATAAGAGCCTTTTCTTGTGAATTTCTTTATATGATGAAAATGATTATTTGGAAACACAAATATGATGATTTAAATGTCTGACTGTCACAGATAAGAATGAAGCTTTTTTTCCCTATTATTGTCTAAAATCTGTAGAATGATCTTTTGATGGCTTCAGGAGGCTTTCTTTGCCTGACAGAATGTCATGATAAAACAAATCACTTAGAAAACATTCTTTGGCATTATGTTTTGGGGCCACTGATCTTTTGGGGTGTTCCTCTTTGTTAAGATCCTTTGCTAAAAACACCCTTGTTTGCCATTTCTTGGTAGAGCACAAAGGGGATTTGTATTGGAGGCATCTCTCCATGGAGCAGACATCCTTGAACTCTTGGTTTATTCAGTGAATGCCTAATCACACATCCCTTTACTGAGCACCCCCTGCAACCATTGTGCTAAAGTCCGGGGAGATGCACACCTGAACAGAGGGCTGCAGTCCCGTATGGTTAAGTGCAGTGTTCAACATGTCCTTGGGGGTCAAAGAGAAGGAGTACTGTGGGCAGGGCATTTAGGAGGTGTTTTAGTCAGCTTTCACAACTCTGTCCAGGAGACCTGGCAAGAACAGCATAGAGGAGGAAAAGTTCATTTTGGCTCATGGTTTCAGGGGTTCAGTCCATGGTCGAGGGACTGCACAGCTCTGGGCCTGAGGTGATGCAGAATATCATGGTAGAAGGCCCAGTGGAGGAAGGCTGATGGCCTGATGGCAGCAAGAAAGCAGAGAGAGAGAGAGAGAGAGAGAGAGAGAGAGAGAGAGAGAGAGAAAGGACCAAGGTCCACAGGGAGGATGAGCCCTTCCAGAGCATGGCCCCAGGAACCCACCTCCTCCAGTCGCTGTTCAGCTGCCTGCAGCTACCACCCAGTCAGTCCGTTCAGACTAGGATGGGATGACTCTCAGACCACAACAGAAGGCTTCCCAAGAAAGGCACAGATGGACCCAAACACGGAAGACTGAGTGGGAGTTACTCAGGCAGGGGACAGGGCAGAGAAGTGGGGAGAACCGTGTTGCCTGACAGCTGTGACGGCCCAGCCAGGATGTGGAGCCAGGGAGGGGCCTGTGAGTCTGGATACCCAGAAGCACACAAGGCAGCAGGAAGCAGGAGTCAGGCTGGAGCCTTGGCAATTCCAGAGGGCAATTCCAGAGGGTTCGATCCTATTATCTCATAAATATCAAGGAGGTATTTAGGGGGAAGCCACAAAGTGAACTTTATGTTTTTGGGAGATTGACGGGTGTGAGGAGGGAGAGCTTGAGGGCCGTGAGAGGAAATCTGCCCCGTGCCTCTCTCCTAGCCTCGGGTAGGTCACTGGCCATCTCTGGAGATCTTTGGCTTGAAAATGGTACCACCCCATCTATGCCTTTGTCTTCCCATGGTGTGTGTGTGTGTGTGTGTGTGTGTGTGTGTGTGTACGCGTGCACAAATTTCCCCTTTCAATGAGGGGGCCAGTCAAACTGGATTAGGACCCACTCTAATGAGCTCATCTGAGTTTCACTAATTATATCTGCTATAAAGGCACATTCTAAAACATTGGAGGTTACAACAGCAACATATGAATTTGAAAGATGGGGGGACACAATTTAACCCTTGACAGGTGACAAAAACAAACTGCAGAGGCATATTTATTTATTTACTTGTTTTTTTAGCAAGCTTTGAGTCTGCAGAGGTTCCCCTTTGGGAAATGAATAAACAGAGAAACAGAGAAAGAAGACATGTAGTGGCTAAGAGATCTTTCTTCTGGAACTAGAGGAAACTGTAAGAGAAATTGAGTGACCTATTTAAAATGAAGTAGGAAGATGAGATTTTTTAAAACAAAAGCAGAAAGTCGAGGGTGATCGTGTAACGGTGAAAGTTAAGAGGAGGAGATGCAGACAAGTTGAGAGAACAGGGACCTAGGAGACAAGGAAGAAACCCGGGGAACCCAAAATGTCGATGGCCACATAGAAATCTGAGGGGGTGAAAGAGCTAAGCAGACCCTTGTGTAGAGCCACTTAGTATCTTGAAATGTTATTGTAAGAGTTCTTTCCTCCCTCTATTTTCTTCTTTTCCTTCATCTCTTTCAAACAGATAACTGGTTCCCCAACCTCCCTGTTTTAGGAGATAGAGGGAAGGATGGAAAGACATGTTTCCTGAAAAAACTCCATTCCTAGCTTTTGTTTTCCCAAAATCCTAGAAAGGGAGTTAATCTTTTTTTAATCAACATGTACTAATTGTATACATTAGTGGGGTGCAGCGTACTACATTAACACCTTGGGTGCTGATCAAATCCACCCTCCCTTTAGCCAACCTGCCCTTTCCTAAGCTCTAGAAATCACTATTCCACACTCAGGTCGACTCCTCTCCCCTGCCCCATTTTAAAGCTCCACACATGAGAAGGAATACTTGGTAGTTGTCTTACTGTGTCTGACCTATTTCATTTAATTATCTTCCAGTTCTATCCATTTTACTGCAAATGACAGGATTCCCATACTTTTCACAGGGGAACAACATTCCATTGTGGGTATGGATCACATCTTCCACATCCATTCATCCACTGATGGGCAGCTGGGTCGATTTTGTATCTTGGCTATTATGAATACTGCCACAATAAATATGGGCAGATATGTATCTCTTTGATATGGCTGATTTCATTTCCTTTGATTATACCCAAAAGGGGGGGTAGCTGGATCCATCGTTAGGTCTATATTGAGTTGTTCTGAGGAACATCCTTATTGTTTTCATAATGGCTGTATGCACTAATTTGCATTCCCACCAACAATGTATGAGAGTTTCTTTTCCCTCTACACCTTCCCCCAAAGATATATTTTACTTTTTTGACAATAGCTATTTTTTTTTTTTTTTTGGTACCAGGAATTGAACCCAGGAGCACTTAACCTCTGAGAAACATCCCCAGCCCTTATTTGTATTTTATTTAGAGACAGAGTCTTGCTGAATTTTTTAACAGCCTCACTAAGTTGCTGAGGCTGGCTTGGAACTCCTGCCTTAGCCTCCTGAGCCACTGGGATTACAGGAGTGCGCCACTGTGCCTGGCAACAATAGCCATTCTAACCGAGATGAGATGGCATCTCACTGTGGTTTTGATTTGCATTCCCTGTAGCATGCTCCTGCAGGGATGGGCTGTTTAAGGAGCTTCCTTCCACCCTTGACGCTGTAAGATCTTCAGCATGACCTGGGGAGGAGGAGGTCCAATGATAACTAAAAGTAAATTTTCTACCAGGCCTTCAGAAATGAGCTCTGAATCAGAAATTAAGTAGCATCCCTGCCTTTGCCAATGTCTCAGAGGCAGGAATGGAATTAAAATCAGCTATTGGAGAAAACCTCCCAAATGTATAGAACATTGGACAAGAAAATAAAATTGATCAGAGGAATGGGCAGTTGTGGAAAAGTCAACCATAAGATATGCAAAGCT